AATGACTACACATTTTGTCATCGATTGCTCGTGTTGAATATTAATTCAAAAAACCCCCCTTCACATTGATATTTTTATCTTAAAACCACACACGGAAACATATTAATCTTAAACTATTTACCTCGAATTTTATTACTTAAATAACACGTTCATATCGAAGGTTAATCAAATAGCGTGCGTTACACGCACTTGTTTTTTTATGTTTTATTATATTTGAACAGCAAAGAGGCTGTATATTCTTCCCAGCCTTGTTCTTAATATTGACAATTGACGTTATAACCTGTTCGCATTTTAAATTATGACAACTTAAGCAACCTTGTATTTTATTGTTTACTTTAAATTTAATTATATCATTAAAAAATTATAACGCAATTAACATAGTATAAAATGTAGTTGTATAATAAGTAATAACTTATATGTAATAACTGGACTGGTAGCTCAGGAAGATATATTAAGTGCAGTTAAGACGTTTTAAGTACGCGCTTTATTAATGTTATAGAAATATACTAAAGCTAATTATTCAATATTTTAATTTCAAACTTCCATAATCAGAAAAGTGTTATGAAATACCAAATCGATCAAGTGCTGAATGCGTTCATCGACATGCGACGCTGGAAGGCCTGCGCGCGCGTTGCTGGTGAATGAAAAGTGTTTATTTAGCTTTAAGACCTAACCAGTCGTCCAGCGGAAGGAATCGAAGTATAATTTATTATAGCATAATTATAAATTGCCATGATCCTAATTTATATGCACAATATCCTCACGACTTGCACATAAGACTTAGGAACTGAATATAATACTGATTTGCACCGATAACATTATACAGTCATGTTTTAAATATTCTTAAAGGACATTGCGTGCTACTAGAAGGACTATTCTAATTCCCGGAACAATAACTTTTCGATGACTGATCATGTAAAAATCCATTAAATGGACGAAAAATTATGACCACTGGAAACAAAAACTCATAACAGGATTCAAATCTTAATTAATGTCAAAAGTCGATCAACAATCGATCCATATGAGCGCTGTTTATAGTTCACTAGTAGACTCGGCCAAGCGTTGCTGTGGCTAAGATATTACATAGTAGTTTAATAGTTTAGTTTACTATTCAAGAGAAACCGCAGGAGAACACCAATCCAGCATGCTTTTTTGGTGGTTATGCCATTAAAATTGTTTTTTAATTTAAAAAAATAATAAAAGGACGCTTATTGTGACGTAACTATAAAAGATAGAGACATGCTGTCGTACATTTTTTATAGATAGTGATGTGTCCTGAAAAATTGTAATACATCATTTTGTTCTATCATTAATAGTTTTCGCAGCGCACGCGATTGAAGGAAGTTTTTTGTTTATTTTTTTACACCTTGGGTTAGATTATTCAAGTTTTAGTAAGCATCCATTTTTTTGAAGCCTATGTCACTCGGAAATAGTGTAGCTTGCCAACGGTGAAAGAATTTTTGAAATCGGTCCAGTAGTTTCGGAGCCTATTCATTTCAAACAAACAAAAAATCAAATCTTTCCTCTTTATAATATTAGTATAGATGTATTTAACCATTTATTTCTCTTGCTATTCAATAAGAAAGTCATAAATATTTATTGTTTAATTGACTTTGTCAAAGACAATTACATAGATATAGTCAAGGAAACCTGTAAGCGGTGTGATATTTCTTATATAAATTACAAACTTGGCGTTGAGTAAAGATGTGGGATCACTCTGCATCTTCTACCGCATTTACCATGAAAAGTGTTCAAAGGAGTTGTTCCGATTAATACCTGCAGCTCTATCCACCCATATCACCTCCTCTGAGCGTTTCTTAACGCATTTTTGCTACGCACTCCACTATGCGGAACCAGCTGCCCAATGAAGTATTTCCGAACCAATTCGACTTAGGGTCCTTCAACGCCGGCAACGCACTCGCGACCCCTTTAGCCTTAAGAGTGTCAATGGGCGGCGGTATCACTTAACATCCGGTGAGCCTCCTGCCCGTTGGCCTCCAATTACATTAAAAAATCGAACCCGTGGGAATAGTGGCGAATGGAAAACACATTTAACTCATAAAATTATCAAAAAAATCTATCTTTAACTATAAACTATAAAAAAAACATGGTGTATCAAAATGATAAGTTTACCTTATATGTAATTCGAAATGTTCAAAACCGTCACGAGGTATCGCTTAAAATATCCTACTAACTATTTATTATATATTGTATATTTAATAATATTACACTGCTACTTTTATTGTTGTTTGTATCGCTACTAGAAGCTCTCGTCATAGTACGTTCGAACCGAAAGACAGAAAAACTGTCAATGACACTAACACATTAGAATTACAAGAAAAATTTGCAGCCTTTAGAATTAAGTGCCAACCACCGCAGCAGAATCACATGCATGACATAACTGAACGCCGAATGCCAGTGACAAAAAACCACAAAATTAATTTACTGCCCACGCTGTTACAACATAATTATTAGCTGACAAATAATAGTTAAAATATTACTTATGATGTCTCGTGCAGACAACAATAGGACGTGGCCTTAGCTTATTATGTTATTACAATTATTTGGGTCAGTGCTGCTACGTGACACGATGGTTTTAAAATCGCCTCGACTTCTAATCCTGCACCGAACTGCTTAGGGCATTGTTGGTATTGATAGTGTTTTTGCGAGTACCGCCCATTTATATGAAACTTTAATATCAACGCAAGTTAATCACATGATTTATGGTCTACGTTGCCTCGCTGATTACGATCGTAAATAATAATAATATTTAAGCCTCATTTATTCCTTGAAATTTTTATACAGAATTTTTTTTTCAATGTACTATCGAGTATAGGCCTCCTCAAACTGGCTCCATCTCTCTCTATCTTGAGCATTTTTCTCCTAATCTTCTCCACCAACTTCTTTACGACTGCTGTAAATACATACATGTATGACACATCTGGAACCTTGCCTGTCTGTTACGCTTTTAAACTACCGAAACTATTTTTGTAAGAAGAAAATAGGTTACCTTTTCTGCTAAAAAGGGGTTGAAACTGAGGATGGAAGTTCGTCATAAAAATTAAGTACAACGCGGACAAAGTATTGTAACAAGTACGTTATATAAGTTAAGCGTTGTTCTTTGAAACCGAAAATTACGTCTTAATTAGGGCACAGCCGGGATTCAAACTGATAATCGAAAGGCGACGAGACCAATGACACAGCCAGGACAGTATTTAGATATAGATTACATATATTTTTAATATAACACGTCATTATATTAAGTACATATTAATAACTGTACAAGGTCGACAAGTTAACCTGACAAATGATTATCGTAATAAGTACGTTGCTATATTCGTGTATTAAAAATATAGAAAAACACTTTTTTAACGGATTTGAAGTTATGTTTTATTATAAATTTACAATTATTTTACATAATTTTAAATTTAACCGACGTTTCGCGTGACTTACAGCGTGTTACTCCTTACAGTAAAATCAAGTGATGGTATACATGAGTCATACTTAGCAAGTATGGACTCTACGGGTGACATTCAGAAACGGGGCATTTTTATGGGACAGGAGGAAAACGTTCAAGCTACTTTCAATAAAATTTTAACACGTGCAACGCCGGTGGCTACCGGGTTACCGACCTATTATGGAATGGCTCTTTTCTTAAAGGCCACTAAGTCGTATCGGTCTGGAAATGCCACTACTGGTAGCGGTTTCAGAAAGAGCCTTAAAAAGGCCTGTGTTGTGGAACGCCAGTGCGCGTAAGTCTTTCTTCTAAAGCTTACCCTGAACCAAGTGGGGTCTGCCCCCAGTTTAGTTCGTAGTTGGCGGCGATGGCGTCGGTTTCCGTCTCTCTTGCTCTCGTTGTTAAAATACACTGGGGGAACGTCCGTCTTCGCTTTGCAATGCGTAAGAGTAAGACAGCTGCCGCAGCGCGACTGTCACGCTGCCAAGCGGCAATTTAGGTCGCAGAAAGTTTGTTTTCGCCCTTAACCCGAAGCATTCTTGTTAATTGTGAAATAGGATATATCAATGCATGCAAGACACAGAAGCTAAAACCTAATTCCATTGCATAAATTCTTTAACATATACATTCGAGGTAATATTTATAAAACGCTTAAAAGCCGACTTAAAAATGTAAAAATAATTAGTTAGTTTTCACGTTAAATTTTCCTCCTCGCATTCTGAGCCATACATTTGGTTTACTTAATTAAAATCGCATGCTTAATATGGAAATTTTATTGATGGTCGTGACACCGATCTTTTACAAAAATATTTGCAAATGCATGACTTGATTTTTATGCACAGCAGGGTTACTACATAAATAACGCTTTTAATGAGGTTGTAGTTTCTTTAGATTTAGTTATTATTTTTTATTTTGTGGTTGCTTGTTTGATTTTTTTCCTAGCTAGCTTGCTTATGTTCTTATGTAATTGATGTGTATGTATGTAAAATTTGTGATGTCATATTTTCTTGTATAATTTTATGCATAGTGCGTGTAGTATGCGTTGTTTTGGAACTTATAAATAAATAAAAAATTGGCTGGAATTTTCTGTAAGAAAGTGCTCATACGGATGTATTTTATGCGAAAAAATTGTATTATCAAAATGACTAAGTAAAGAAATTAAGCTAAAGTCCATTTTCGGCTCATTCATGCTAATAATTTTGTGTGAAAAAGTAAGCAAAGCTCTCAAAAATAATAATACATAAACGTATGAATTTTTTGTAGGAATCCTCGAAAATGCACATCGTTTTCAAGCATAGACCATGTGTGGGGGATATGTGTAAAAAAGTTAATAATTACTGTTGACGTAATCACCAATTAATATGAAAATTAAAGACCCCCCTCACCCCTATAGTCCTTACGCTATACTTGAACGGACCCCATCATTATTCATTTTTCGTTTTTCATTATATACGTACACACTGTTGCTAATTCCGCGCTTATTAGACGGACATTAATAACGTTTAATAAAATGAAGGTTTTGTTTATTTCAGAATAATACACAATGTTTCACGGAGGCCTTCTGACAAAGTTGCGTGGTTTCTACAAGTGGTATGTTCTGGGTTTGGTGTCCGTGGGATACATCCTTGGAGAGCTAGGACATTATCTCATAGGTGAGTAAAAGCGATAAAATATGGATCGCGGGTAATTTTTGCTTTGAAAAAAACATTTTTCCGTCTGGTATTACCTTGTTTGTATTGGAATTTCCGAATACCTTTCCTTAAAGGATGCCTTATTGAAAAATGTATCAACTCACAATATTTTAAGTAGATATCTAAAACCTGCGTCCTACTTCAAAAGGTTCTTAACCAACATAGTAATAATAATAAAAATTAAAACTTGATAAATAGAAAATTAAAACTTAAAAACTTGGTCCCTGTGGCAGTGTACCTTTAACGCTGGCAGCATTTCCTCGCTGCATTGCTATAAACTCAAAACTCAAAATAAATGTATTCATATACGCAAGTACACTTGAACTTCATGAACGTCAACAGAAAATATATTAAATTGATTCTAAATTTACATTTACTACCAGTTCATAAGTTAAGGGCGTAGAGCGGGCAAGAAACTCTCACAGACACTTATTCGCTGAGCGAGGAAAGCACCAGGCGCCAACTTAATTAGACCCTGGCACTTAAACCCCACGGTTCAAGAATCAGCCTTGCGATTCTGTAACTCATACAGATAAGGAGCTTGTAGTTTATTGTTTATCAGAATGCCAAATCGTGAAATGACTGCTTTACGACTGATTTGAGCCCGACCGCCGCTGTGAAAACCGCTGTGAGAGTTCGAAAAGTGAGTTACAGAATCGCAAGGCTGTACCCCAAAGGGAGCAAAATCGAAGATGGAGGAAATACTGTTATATTTGAGCCGATTATTGCGCCTACTCAACAAGTAGTTTTATATGTGTTAAGCACCATAATCTACTAAATACTATACATAATCGGCGATTCTAATCGCCATTATGGCTTAACTGTCAATCGCTTTGTTTAATTAATACATTTAACCCGAAAGATCAAATGACGAATGCAAAAACATTCTATACCCCATTAGAAGTTCAAATAATTTACGTTTGCGGTAATCGAACCTGGACAAGGCTTTGAATAAGCAGTACGGAGACACGCATACATGTACCTCCGTTTCAGTTACGTATTAAATTAACCTTCAAGTGACCTTCAAGTGGCATTCCTTGACATTGACCGCCGTATACTTCGAAGCCTCAGGCAATTTTAAGTGAAAGGGAATATCAGTAAAAAATCCACATTCCGTTGAGAATACTGTATGACGAATGTTGTAAAAGGTCTACTGTGTGTGTGTGTGTGTGTGTGTGTGAATGTGTGTGTGTGTGTGTGTGTGTTTTAATAATGAGCTACGGTAGTTCCCTAGCCCGTCTCTAATAAAAATACCCAGTGGCGCTTCAATCTTTATATGTCTAAGCTTTAGATTTCTGTTTCGTGATTATTCGTTTTTTTAATAGGCCACTCCTAGTCAAATCATTTATTTCAATTAGGACTATTTAAAATGCACTTTGAAAGTCAAAATTACAAGTTAAAAATATTTAAAAATGGCTCTAGTTGCCCCTTCCAAAAGATAGTTTCATTTGGAGAGTAATGGGCAAGAAACTCCATACTTACGCTTTTAAAATAGTTTAGTATATTTTGTACACATTGATTTGATATTTATATGTAAAGACCATGCACCTGGATTTAAAAAAACTACTATTTAAAAATAAAGTAGGTGCATGGTGTTATAAAAAACAATGCAGCAGATAACTAAATTATTATGTGGATAGATGGTGCTCACATATTCACAAAATATGCCTCTTGTGCCTCCTGTGCCTGACAAACGCCGTCTACTGTTTTGGTCTAATGCTTGCACGATGGCTTCCATGATAGTGTTTTCCATTACCTAAGTGTAAGTCCATTGGTGCCAGCCAGGGACTGAGCCTACGACCTCAGGGATGAGAGAAGCCACTAGGCCAACACTGCTCTCTAGAATAAGCTTATCTTAAATCTCTATTAATTATACATGAAGGGATATAAGGAATTTCCACTATTACAAATGTTGCTTGGAAAATCCCGGGTGAATGAACTCAATGCCCTAACAACTTTCTAGACATCTAGAATTTTCTACACATTAGAAGCGCATTCTGGATCACGTGCGCATGAGACTGTGATCCTAATCAAACAACTGTGTCAAGGTTTGCTGTGTCGAAATGATACGAGAACGCTAATTTAATTCATTGCATAAGAATTTTCGCAGATTTTTAGAAAATAGTTTTTTTTATGTAGGCTATATTAGATTAAAACATATATTTTTACATTTATTACTTAATAAAAACAAATAAAAAAATTACGAGTATTTTTAGATAGTTTTTAGTCTCACTTAGCAATCATACTTTTAAAGGAACATTAAAAACTACTTTTATTAACAATAACAACAATATTAAAAGGGGTATATACAATATAATATATGTATACTAGCGGTTCCGATAAAAAATAAATCTAATAATGTAAATCATTGTTGACTCCACTTGAACACCACACATCGAAATCTGTCCGGCAGTTTAGGAGTTTTATTACAAACATATGCACAGAAGATATCAGCTGTTTGTTTGCTGTATAGATAAATTACCTAGATATCGACTGTAGCGCCATCTGCCGGGTTAATTTGTGCATTTAAACCATCTAGCCACGCAAACACATACAAAAAAATGCACGCAAATCGGTCCAGCCGTTTAAGAGGAGTTTAGTGACATACACACGTACAGCAGAATTATATATATATATATATATATATACATATGTATGTGACGTAGATTGCAATGCTACAGTTTAAAACTATAATTAAGTAAACAAGTTAAGTAAGGCTCGAATAACGGAGTATTTTATCACAAACATGAATTCAATATAATAGGTAATAGTATAAACTATTCAGAAGATGTATTTGCATAATAATAATCTTACGGCTGATAGCAGTTTCTTCGACGGCAGCAAACAATTCAGTAAACGAATAACAGACAATAAAATCAAGAAAACGAAAAGTGCGTTCCTCGCTCTACGAAAAAGTATCGTAATACAGCGAGGATTGCATTAATATGGGTACTCTGCCACAGGGACCAGACTTTTTAAATTTTCTATTTATCAGTTTCTAATTAGTATTATTACTATGTAGGTTAATAATATTGTAAGTACTGTATGAGTATATAGGAACTTTTGTTAACATGAAGAGCAGTGTTGGCCTAGGCTTCAGCGTGCAACTATCATCCCTGAGCTCGTAAGTTCGATCCCCGGCTGTGCACCAATGGACTTTCTTTCTATGTGCGCATTTAACATTCGCTCGAACGGTGTAGGAAAACATCGTGAGGAACACTTGCCTTAGACCCAAAAAGTCGAGTGCGTGCGTCAGGCACAGAAGGCTGATCACCTACTTGCCTATTAGATTAACAAATAATCATGAAACAGATACTGAAATCTAGATACAGATACTGAAATAGGCCTAGACCTAAAAAGGTTGTAGCGCCATTGATTTATTTATTTTATACAGGAACTTTTAGTTTCATTTGCGATTGAATTAAAAGTTTTTTTTTTAATTAACTAAATTGTGTGATTCCAGGAACAACATCGAAAGTAACAGCTGATGATCTACACTATGGTGACAGGTCGTGTATGCTGAACGCTACCCATTTGCATCTCAGCCAGCTCCCAGTTATATGTGAAAAGGTCAACTCCAGCGAAATGTGAGTAATATGTACTTCCTGATTGTTAAATGCGCCGTACCGAATATTCTGTCGTTTTCCGGTGTGAATTGTCTTTTATATTATAAAAAATAATTTATTAAAAGCTTTGCTCGGCACACGGATACATTAATACATAAGAAAAACAAAATACAAGATTTAATGTGACCAGCACTTAAACAAACACAAAGAGAGAGTAAAAATACAGCGAACTAAAGTAAAATTATAAAATGATTATGTATTTCAAAGTGTAAGGGGAGCTACTATGGATATCCAGACCTAGCTCGTTTATCAGAATGCTCAATCTCGATGTCGGTGAGTTTTAGCCAAAACGCGTTCTTTTGAAAGGAGGTACAAATGGTATAAGTGGACCTACATAGCGTCGTTATACCTAAATGTAGTGAACCTAGTATATTTCCTATAATATAAAAATAAGTCGGGTTTTCCTTCCTGACGCTATAACTCCAGAACGCACGAACCGATTTCCACGGTTTTGCATTCGTTGGGTTGGTCTCGGGCTCCGTGAGGTTTATAGCAAAGAAAATTCAGGAAAAATTTCAACAGAAAAGCGGGATCACCAAACGAAATGTTACATAAAACGAAGCCATCTGGTAGCGAAACGGAGTTCGCCGGGTTTGCTAGTTTCCTATAATTATTCAAATTAATTTGAATACACCAAACTTTCAATAACTTCTTAAACATAATCAGAAATATAATCAATCATAACAGTCAACTTAATATTAATAATTTATTCTATTTAGATAACACAGATTTAGACAAAACTAACTGAAATGGATTTAGTTATTAAGTACAACTTAAAAACTAATTTTATTACATAAACAAATAAAAAAGAAACGTGTGTGTACTAGAAGTTATACTTCTTTGGCGTAACAAGATAAAAATCTTTTCAAAAACGTTATTCTACGTTTGTAGAAAAAACGACACTAACAATAGACAAAAGGTATTTAATACATTGAAAGTTTTATTATAACGCATTATCTAGTTAAATATAGTTTATTTAAATATCACAAAAAAAATATTTCTACATAATTAAAGAAATGGACTTTTTTATTTTAGCACGCAACTTATACATATTGATATTTACTATTTATTTTCGTCCATTGGTTGGAGTTCAGTAGACATGTGAGTTACAAGAGGCTAGCTTAAGTATGATACAAATATTCTTGTAGAAACATTGTCTAAATATCGTACAAATTCAGCATCAATAGTTGTATAAAAATTACTCTCATCATTACTTGCGCGCCAAAAGAAGTATAACTTCAATGAATAAATAAACAGCCTACGCGTACTCTTGTCTCCTAGAGCCGAGAAACTGCCAAACAATTTGCAACTGACTACATTCTATTGTACTGAGGATACTGTTCCTACTACCTCGCAATCTGGGTAAAGGTGATGCCATTTTTCGATCGCCCAGAAGTCATATGAGCCTGGACAAACATGCCCGAGGCACTGCAAAGCGTGGCAACCAACAGCATCCTACTGGCGTTATTATATTGAACAACCGGCGACAGGCCCTAAACGACCCGGCAGTACAGCCGACTCACGTATCGTAGGTGGAAATCAGGAAATTAATATCCATAATTCATAAATACCAATAGCTAAGCAATTAGGTACAGATACAATTAAAATAATAAAATTTGCATACGGAATTTCCGCGTATATATAAATCGTTTTAAATTGTCATGTTTTAGCGATATCAACGCCAATAAAATATATATATTGAAAAAGCTTTTGCAAGTCCTGTGATGAAGATTAAATTAACTTAATGCCCTCACATCTTAGTGTTGATTGAGCTCGTGATGCCGACACATTTCAGACTTGTGATATTCATAAACGAGTCCTTTAACGAATAGGGACGAAAGTTTGCAGACTCTTAAATTCGGAAAGTCGCATATCTCATCGTTTTGGCTCATCATCGATACGACTTGTTGCAGCTTATGATGGGCAAAATTCAAGGCAAGAGACGGGCTGGTAGAAGGAAGAAGTCGTGGTTTCGGAAGGTATGGGAGGGGACCGGCATAACATCCGCCGATGAGCTTTTTATACTAGCGCCAGATACCCTACAATTCCAGTTGCTAAGAGCCAACTTTTAGTCAATAAAGTGGCAGCAGAAGAAGAAGCAGTTAGACTGTTTAGTCTTGTTTATGAATCACATCTATAGAGCACAATTAGGCGTAATACATGTTAAAATAGTAGACTTTAAATAAAAAATTCAGTCGCTATTTCGAACGTGTATAAAACTGTTATACAGTCCAATGAGGTATTACTTTATAAAAGGTAATAATCACTATGATATCATAGTCCCGTCATCATAATGATGATTGATCCCTCGACAAGTCCAAGAGCTAAGTTAATTATTTTATTTAGTATGACATTTCAATGTCATTTTTGATAGCTTTGCTTCAGTAAATTATTGAGAGAATATTTTATAACTTGTTATCAAATATAAATTATAAAGTGCTATTTGTTCAACTTTAATAGTGTGTGCGTTTGGGAGATTGTCTTAGTAAACTAACATACGCCAAGTTACCCTAACAGTGACGTGAAGGGTAGGAGAGGTTTAGTGGGTTATATGGAGTACCACAATCTGTGCGAAAATGCATTTCTTTCAGTAAAAAAAGATGTTTCTTCTATGTAACACTTCGTCGTTTGCCAAAGGAAGACGAAGTGGAAAAGAGAGGAAATGTGGATGTTTTACACGCACGTCCTATACAGTTTAAAGACATGTGAGTGCTTACCCTCAGATGGCGTGTGTCAACCAAATGCTCAAAATGAGAAAAATAAAGAAAATCTCTAACGCAAATCAAGGATAGAGCTACTCAATGATAATGATAATCTCTGTTATTGTTTTTACTAAAATCATTTTCAGACGCTGTATCACATTATTTGTGCTTTATTAATTAACAGAAGCCTCTACAATAGATGCAAGAACAGTTCCAAATGCATAGAGTTTTTTTTATTTTTTTTTTATTGATAAAGCTTGCCAACGCTTGGCACACTGATACATTGGTAAAAACAAATATGACATACATTTAGAGATCATACAAATATCAATCAAAACAATATTATAAAACAAAACAAACATTACAAAAAAAACAATAACTAATCAAAAATATTATAATTACAAAAAACTACACTAAAATAGATTTTAAAGTGTGAGGGGAGCAACTATGGATATCCAGACCTAGCTCGTTTATTAGGATGCTTAATCTGGACATCGGGTTTCCCAAAAGACAGAAAACAATAATAATACATTACCTTAGCTAGACTAAGTGTCCTATCGTTGGAGTGTCCGCGGTGGTCTCAGCTACGTCATAATTATTCTATGATGGATAACAACCTTGCTCTTCCTTGTGTTATCCAAAAAATAGTCGGCAGTGACGAGGTATGGAATATAGTTCGTCTGTGAGCAAGTAATGCTAAAGAAGGAGACAACAGAACGAGAGAGAGAGCGCTCCTGGACGAATCCTATGGTTAGAAGATGCGGAGTAAATAGGAGAAGATATGCCCATCTCCTACCTCCTATGTAGTGTATACTGCACTGGACCTGCACCGGTTTCGAGCGTAATAATTATTGTGCTGATGAGGCCCCGGTACAATGTGAGAGTGACTCTGGAGCCTCTGTAACGCGGCTTTGTAGGAACTACTCGAGGTGGTTTTAGTGGGTATTCCTTACCCGGTCTCAAAATAGCAGAGATTCTGGCGTGGGTCCCATATACCCCTGCAAACTTCGCGGGCATGCGCTAATGCATTTCCACCTCGATATAAAAAAGACTAAGTTTGCTATAAATATAATTTAATACGTGAAATTTTAGTAAACAGGATGGAATAAAGCGGCTTAAATTATTTCGTAGAGACTGTAATTTTTTTTTTTTTATTCCTTTATTTTACAAAATAATATAATACAATCATAATATGTTACATTAGAAAACCGCTGTGGTTTGTATAAATGTAACCATAGCAGTCTTGTTTAGGTAAAAAATATCTCCTATACTTGACTTAAAACCTTCACAATTGTCAATGATTAATGTTGAACTTTCGCACGATACCGACAATAGAAATGAAACCACATCAATTGTTCGCGTAGTAATAAATAAGAGTTAATTGGTATTATGTGACTGACTATAATAATAATAAAACTTTATACATGATAGAATTCTTTTTTAAATGTAATCGGAGGCAAACGGGCAGGAGGCTCATCTGATGTTAAGTGATACCGCATCCCAAGAACACTCATATTGCCAGAAGGCTCGCAAGTGCGTTGCCGGCCTTTCAAGAACTTAGGAAGGCCTTTTAAGAATCTAGTTACTCACACACTAAACTAGGGAGCCCCTGTGTTGTGGGTACTAATTATTCCGTAGTACATATTCATTACATTTTTTAAATAAAAGTAGTCTTAGGTGTGTTTAGTCACGCAAAAGTCGTATAAAACTTCAATTGTATGAGCATATGTATTTCATGCCAAAATATGGAGTAAGCCTCTGTAGAATCGAAATCTAATAAAAATAAATCAGTGGCGCCACAACCTCTTTAGGTCTTGCCCTCAGAATTCTGAAACTGTTTTACGACCATTTTTAAATCTTATAGGCGAAGAAACTCTCCCCCCAAGTAACTCGTTTCTAATCGCCAAGTTTTTTGTTTTACATCATTAAGAAGCTGCAACTATTATTATAATTCACATGACATGGAATATATATTATGATTCAAAAATTCCAGAGCCCAGTGAGAACTATCGAGTGGTTTTCCAACAGTCAACGTCCACCTTTGCCACCACTAAAACATATGTGCTTTGGTATAATCAAATACTGATCTAGAAATACTTCCTATAAAGATTTTATACGAATATGTGTTTTTCAGATGCGAATCTCTTTCCCTAAACGGCACTTACTACTGCGAGTGGGGCTACAATGGTCTTGGGATAGACTACCAGGTCCTGGCTGGCCCTGCCTTCATGGCTGTCTTCACGGTTGTGGGTGTTATACTGGGCGTGGTCGCTGACAAGTAAGTTCGAAATTTAAATATTACCAATACACGAGCGGAAACGCTTTGTGTTTTTAACTATTGTATACAAATGGGTTATGACTTGAATAGCAGCCTGAAGGCATATTTGGAAATGAACGGAAGCACGAACACAATAGCTTATTACTATACAAATTGAAAAATGTATGGGAGCTGTCAGAAACTTATGTAAAAATATCTAGGTATACAAATACTTGACAAATCTATCAAGGTGGAATGATGTCATGACCAAACGGGAGCTAAACTCGTACCATAGATATCGCGTCTCCCGTTAGCGTTATCTCTATCTCTATATATATAAAATTCTCGTGTCACAATGTTCGTTCCCATACTCCTCCGAAACGATGGAATTATGATTTTTTTAATGCATATTCAGTAAGTCTCAGAATCGACTACTATCTTTCTTTCAAACCCCTAAGTGTTAAGGGGTGTCCACCACAATTTAAATTTTTTAGAAGAAAAAAAATATTTTATTTTGTTATGATACAGCATACAAAATACATACAACCCCTAATTTTCACCCCTCTACGATCAACCCCCATTTTATATTATTGTAGATAGTTATTTTTATTGAACTAAAAAAATTTTTCCTACAAATAATATTGTTACGAGCTAGGGGATCGGATAGAAACGCCGTAGATCTCTTCAAGGGTTTATTTCAATTAAATCTACGAGGAATTTGTTACACTAAAAACTGGTAATTACGCACTAAAATTCACTGAATACACACACAAAATACTGTCACTAATTACACGCACTTCACACAGTACTTGTATTCACTTGTCTTCACTATATTCGCACTTTGTCACTCCGGTGTTTATCGCTTGGTATCGCATTCAAAACTGAACTAACTGGTCGCGTTTCGGCTCGCTTATATATCCCTGGGAGCGATGTTCGAGAACTCTCTAGGCGGCAGCGCAACTGAGTAGCGATCGCACAATTCTAGAACGTGCGTACTAGCTATCCCTTTCGCACATTGCTCCGTCCTTGTCGTACGGCGTTCTAGAGTGCTCGGTCTAGCTTCGAGAAGGTTCCGATCTTCCCTCTCTCTCGCGTATCGTTCCGTCCTTGTCCCACACCTAGAAAATTCGTTCTAGAACATTCCTTCGTCAAAGGGGTATAACCAGGCCTGAAAACGCCTGAAAACGGGTTTCCTGAAAAGTGTACCATTCGACTACACGTGTTCTGAAACTGCCTGAAAAAATGCTTCAGGCTCCTGAAAACTAGGGTAACATTATGTAAATTGCGATTTTCTAATATGTGATTGACCCTCCCCTGAAACGGTCAGAAATCACATTTCAGCCTGCTGAAAAGTTCTCTAAGTAGTGGAAAAATCTAGAAACATTGTAGTCGACCCGTCTTCGTAACACTACCCCCTCCTTAGACATGCTCGTCCCGAGCATCATCACTTTCTTTCACCGTTATCCTTTCCCATAGAGACCGAGTCTGCGAATCCTTAATAGCTGCACAATCTTTACATTTCTTGATCCAGTCTTCAACATCTTCACGATAGTGTATCCAATAAAATATTTCTTTAATCTTCATAAGAGTCCTCTTTACTCCTAAATGTCCACTAGACAAGTCAGTATGAAACATTTCCAATATGTCGCGAACCTTGGATCTTGGCACAACTATTTGCAAATGATCGCCTTGAGCATTTTTCAATTTGCGACATAACACTCCATTATGTAGAACTAAACTATCCCATTGAGCCAAGTAACTCTTAGTAGTGGTACTTGTAGATGCGACTTTACTCCACTGCGGCTTGACAGCTGAAGATTTCATCCAATCCAGAATTGGTTTAATGTCACAATCTTCTTGCTGTGCTATCTGCATAAATTTTCCACCCCAATCTGAATGAATGATGTCTGTTCTATAAGTTCTCACATGGCCAATCTCCCGTCTACCCTGTTTGTTGACCTTTTTACATAGTCGTTGAGACACATCTGAACTTCTGGTAAGCTCTCTTTCATGGGCAGATAAAATGTCCGAAAACTTCTTTAATTGTTCCTCTGCCTTTGATAGGTGTCTTGACAGGGCTTCCTCATAGGTCTCAGTAACTTTACGAACTGCGTTCCACTCTTGTTGATTACAGTCCTGTCCGTCCACATTGATAACTCTACAGACGTCAAAACCACTATTTGAAGAGTTGCCTTTTAAGCAGACTTCCTGTTCTCCACTCTTAAAGATTCCTTTTTCCAGATCTATTTTACAATTGTACAGCTTCATAAAGTCTAGCCCGATTATGCAGTCATCTACTATGTCGGCAAGAACAACCTTGTGTCTGTAAAATCTTCCACCAATATTGAAGGTTGCGATACCTTCTCCCCGATCGGTTATACGCTGACCTGTAGCTGTAACAAGCTGTACATTTCCTCGAGAAGGGCTTCCATAAAATGACTTCAGAAGTTGGTATCTGATTACGGTTCGTGAAGCTCCGGTGTCTAGTGTTAAGTCACACTTAGTTCCATTGACTACTCCGTCGATAACCAAGGTATTCCCGCGTCTAACCTTCACATCACCTCGGAAGTCTTTCTTTGGGCACGAAAACCTCATGTGCCCTACTTCCCCACAGATGTAACAGGTTGGCCCACGTTGAACATTAGCTTTTTCCGTGATAGCCCTAATGCGGTAAGGTCGAGGATCTTTCTGAATCGCCTCCACCTCCAACGCATGGGCTAGAGCATCCTTCAGGTTCTTGTGGTGACCAAGGTTTACACTCAACCTGACTTCACGATCTCTTATTCCATCAATAAAGGTTTGCACTAATATCTTGTCTGCTACATCTGGTAAGGATGCGTAGGCTTTCCTAACCAGCTTCTCTATTTCACATCCCCATTTTTGCAAACTTTCATTTGTCTGCTGTATTCTATCCTTTAATTGAGCCCTATAGACGTGCTCTAAATGTGCGTCTCCGTACCGTGATTCTAGGGCATCCAGCAGTTGCTTCAACGTCACTTTACCTGTCTTGGTATCTAATATGGTGAGGGCTTCATCTCGCAGTCCCATAATAAGAGCGGTGACAGCCTGATCGTCATTCCACCCGTTTGACTCTGCCACAGTCTCAAACTGTATTTTGTACGCGCCCCAGGAAGATGTACCGTCAAAGGGAGGTACTTTCAGATTTCCAGATGGTGCTACAGTCGTTATGACACCTTTGGTCTTCAGGCACTGCATCTCTTGTTCTAATCCGAGAATACGTTTGTCCTGTTTCGAAAATTTGCAGTCCATATCAGATTCCAAGTTCTCGATTTTTTTATCTACTTCTTGTTTTAGATCTCCTAATCTTTCTCCGATACGGCAAGCCTGTTCCTCCATCAAACGACGTGTCTGAGCCTGCTCTTCCACGATTTGGCGTGCCTGTTCCTCTTGACGGCGAGCCTGTTCCTCCATCAATCGCCGAACCTGTTCCTCCTGATGACGGGCCTGTTCCTCTTGACGTCGTGCCTGTTCCTCTTGACGTCGTGCCTGTTCCTCTTGACGTCGTGCCTGTTCTTCCATCATTTGTCGTGCCTGTTCCTCTTGACGACGTGCCTGTTCATCCATCATACGACGTGTCTGAGCCTGTTCTTCCATCATTTGGCGCAGGGCAAGGAGGATGTTGCTATCGTTGCTTTCGCCCATCCCGCGGTTCGCATCGAAACTTTGTCGCCGGGCGGCGTCGCGTGCTGATTGTGCCCTTGTCTGCACTCCCTCCGCAGCTGGAGACTCGGCCACAAACTCCTCTTGATTCTCCCTCGGAGTAATTGGCATTTTTCTATCCCACTTCTGACACCAAAATGTTACGAGCTAGGGGATCGGATAGAAACGCCGTAGATCTCTTCAAGGGTTTATTTCAATTAAATCTACGAGGAATTTGTTACACTAAAAACTGGTAATTACGCACTAAAATTCACTGAATACACACACAAAATACTGTCACTAATTACACGCACTTCACACAGTACTTGTATTCACTTGTCTTCACTATATTCGCACTTTGTCACTCCGGTGTTTATCGCTTGGTATCGCATTCAAAACTGAACTAACTGGTCGCGTTTCGGCTCGCTTATATATCCCTGGGAGCGATGTTCGAGAACTCTCTAGGCGGCAGCGCAACTGAGTAGCGATCGCACAATTCTAGAACGTGCGTACTAGCTATCCCTTTCGCACATTGCTCCGTCCTTGTCGTACGGCGTTCTAGAGTGCTCGGTCTAGCTTCGAGAAGGTTCCGATCTTCCCTCTCTCTCGCGTATCGTTCCGTCCTTGTCCCACACCTAGAAAATTCGTTCTAGAACATTCCTTCGTCAAAGGGGTATAACCAGGCCTGAAAACGCCTGAAAACGGGTTTCCTGAAAAGTGTACCATTCGACTACACGTGTTCTGAAACTGCCTGAAAAAATGCTTCAGGCTCCTGAAAACTAGGGTAACATTATGTAAATTGCGATTTTCTAATATGTGATTGACCCTCCCCTGAAACGGTCAGAAATCACATTTCAGCCTGCTGAAAAGTTCTCTAAGTAGTGGAAAAATCTAGAAACATTGTAGTCGACCCGTCTTCGTAACAATATACATGGCAAAACAAACGTTTGCCGGGTCAGCTAGTAGCCTAATTAATATATATATATAAAACCTTATTATATATAATCAAGTTTTTTTTTAATAGGATATATTTTTAATTGATTTCATGACCCATTAGTTTCATCTAAATAACTTTATCTTATGTGGTTTTCAATTTGTGCTCACCTTATTATTATTTTTTATCAGTGGTCGCCGCCAGTTGCTCTCCTTTCTATCTAATTATTTTAATTATACTATATTTCTGTGTACTTGCAATGAAGTGTTTATTAATAACATGTAATACATTAAGCGTGGTCGTCACTTAAAAACGAAGTATGAAGATGTGTTCACAGCTCATAAAAGCCTTCATGAACTACTCCACAAAGTATTTTCTTGTGTCATGAACTTTTGCCTTTAATTCAAAGTCGTGCAAAAGTAAATTAAAATTTTATCTGTAAATTATTTGGTACAGTAATAAATTAAATGATTGATCTCTCTTTTAAATCTGACCCTGTCTTAATTGCCTTCAATTTAATAGCGAGCTTTCAATCAAGTCCTGCCTCTGAAGGGTATTGCAAATAAATACATAATAAAATTAATGAAACATTTCTACAGATTGTAAATTAATAAATATATTGTTTATGTTAATTGCTGCTAAAATAAATCAGTGGCGCTACAATCCTTTTAGGTCTGGGCCTCAGATTTTCTGTATCTGTTTCATGATCATTTGTCAATATAATAGGCAAGTAGGTGATCAGCCTCCAGTACCTGCCACATGCCGACGTTTCTAAGGCAAGCCGGTTTCCTTCACCGAGCGAGCGAACGTTAAATGCGCACATAGGAAGAACTCATTGTAACTTTTTGGGTGTGATGCTGGTTTCACGATGTTTTCTTTCATCGGACGAGCGAGTGGTTAAACCGCACATTGACAGAGAGTCTATTGGTAGCACAGTTGGGGTTCTACTACAAAAGCCAAAAGACCAACAATAGACCCTAAAACAAGCATCTCATATGTTTAAAAAAAATATGACAGTACAAAATAATTTAAAAAGTAATAGTCTAGTTAATTCGTGCATTAGATATTAAAGGATTGGTACACAGAGGAATCACACATACAAAAAACAATACATACACATCGAAACGTCCATAACTGATTATATTATATATTAGGTCCTTACATATGAAATTGGCGTTTTACGTTTTGGCCACTTTGACCTCAAATATCTCCTCTTTGGTTAAGAATTCCAAATTAAAATTTGTACAGCTATTTACTCATGTATTTGTGCTTCGATGACCGTCATTCATTTGTTTTTTTCATCTGTTTTTTTCTGTTTGCGTCACTCATTTTACAAAATGGAAAACTTAAAGTATCTCATTATTTACCAGTACGAGTTCCGCCGTGGCACTAGTGCTGCGGAAACGACTCGAAGGGTGAATGATGTGTATGGCGGTCAAGTTGCAAAAGAAAACACAGTTCGTTTTTGGTTCCAACGTTTTCGTTCTGGAAATTTCGACATGCAGAACAAGCCCCGTGGACGGCCTGAGACCCAAGTTGATAATGAAGTATTGAAGGCTATTGTGGAAGCGAATCCATCGCAATCCACGTCCGAGTTAGCTGCAGGCTGCGGTGTTAGTGATAAAACTGTTTTAATTCACTTGACGCAAATTGGGAAGATTAAAAAGCTTGAAAGATGGGTACCTCACGAATTGACTGAAGCAAACCGGCAAACGCGCGTCGACTGCTGTGTTACATTACTGAACCGGCACAATAATGAAGGTATTTTTAAACCGAATTATTACCTGTGATGAAAAATGGATTCTTTACGATAATCGGAAGCGCTCAGCGCAATGGTTGGATCCTGGCCAGCCAGCCAAATCCTGCCCCAAGCGAAAATTAAACCCAAAAAAGTTACTTGTAAGCGTTTGGTGGACTAGTGCCGGTATTGTTCATTGCAGTTTTCTCAAATCTGGCCAGACTATTACGTCTATTGTCAGCAATTGCAAACCATGATGGAAAAGCTAGCGGCTAAACAACCTAGGCTGGTCAATCGCTCCACGCCACTGCTACTTCACGACAACGCTAGACCACACACTGCACAACAGACGGCTACCAAATTAGAAGAGCTTCAATTGCAATGTCTAAGACATCCTCCGTACTCCCCGGACCTTGCTCCAACAGATTACCATTTTTTTCGAAATTTGGACAACTTCTTGCAAGGGAAAAAATTTAACTTAGATGGGGCAGTCCAAATCGCCTTCACAGATTTTATTGATTCCCGTCCGACTGTTTTTTTTAGTAAAGGGATCAATGAACTACCTATGAGATGGCAAAAGTGCATAGAAAACAATGGTTCATACTTTGATTAATTAAATATATTATATTTAAAAATATTCGACTTTTTGTTCCTTCCATACAAAACGCCAATTTCATATGTAAGGACCTAATATATATATACCTAGATTTCAAAAAAGGTTGTGTCATGAAACCAATTTTGGTAAAGCAGTTTTGAGAAATTATGCAAATTAATTAATTAATACTGTCGCTATATTCGTTAAATAACTCCGACTCAAAAATTTAATGATATCATAATGATTCAATCTTAAATTTTATCACTCAGGTACAACCGAGCAAGAATTTTATCAGTGTGTACTATGGTCTTCGTGGTCGCTATTCTGATGATGGGCAGTGTAAAGGAATACTGGCATCTAGTGATTCTTCGGATGATAATGGCGGCTGGTGAATCAGGCTGCAACCCGCTCGCGACTGGTATATTGACGGATCTCTTCCCCGAACACCAGAGGGCTCTCGTACTGTCCATCTTCAATTGGGGAATCTATGGAGGATATGGTATCGCATTTCCGGTTGGCAGATACGTTCCAATTTTGAATGCTTGGGGACTGGTAAGTGTACTTTCGCTATAAATCTTTAGAAAAATAAATTCAAAAAAAGTCTATTGTTTTTGGGTTGTCGATAGTATCTATGACAACGATACTTAACTGCGTTTTAAAAGTGTAATGAAGTACGATTAATAAATATTGAATGGTTTTAATAAAATTTGCAGAGCTGGCGACTATGCTACTACAGTGCTGGTATTGTGGGTCTGGTAATTGCTGCTCTTACATTTCTCACTCTTCGCGAACCGGAAAGGACTACTATTGGAGAAGAAGGTAATAAATATACCACTTCTTACTTAACATAAAAAAACTTAAATAAAAAAAAATTGTTCTAACGGTTTATTTAATAAAAAACAAAAAAGGAATTCAAAAACCAGTGGTGTATTGGGTGACCAACGACGTTCTCTTACCTTTTTTCGGAAATAGAACTCGTTCCAGTAATTTTTTAGTAGATTATTTTTTAATTTCAAATGTAAATTGGCGTTTTGTTTCTTTTCCCATTTCAATCAAATAAACATAGTGTGTTCAATGTTCGCTGTTCTTTATTGATTTATTAGACATTTTTTTTGCTAAAAATAGTACTTTGTTTGCTCCCACTACGTTCGCTTACTGCTTATACATCACTGATAAAAACGCTTATTCATAAATCATCAGCTTAGATGCAGATATATTAACTAAAGTATACCCGTCTCTTTTTACCAAAGCGTCAACACAATTTGACTGAAAGACACGACGAGAGTACATTATTTAAAGGAAAGCAATTAGTAAACACTCAATTTTCAATTTCGAAAATTCTTTATTTTGTTTCACAAAAATGTATAGTGCTACATATCCAGTGTACAATATTTCTTGGAATGTAACAAACTTATAACTAGACACTATATTCAATTAGAAAACACTATATAGTTATAAACACTAATAGTTTTTAGTAAATAAGACTTATATAACGTATTCTTTCAAGGTACAGGAAAGCCTACAGACGGTGTGGAGTCTGGCAAGAAGATGCCCCAAGTTACCATCTGGCACGTGATTGCTCAACCTAGAATTATCCTTCTCTGTCTGGCTGCATCTATCAGGCACTGCGGTATGTTGAACTTTTACACGTCGTTGCTTGATTCAAAGTAGTTGAGTATATTGTGAATGAAAAGAGAGCAGAACAAAACAAAATCTCTAAATAATAATAGTTTCCCCAATTATGAAATGAGTCAATTACATATATTCTCGTATCTTAAACATAATTCATCCTTTACTTTTTAAATGTTTAATGCCCTCATTTAATTATTATAATACAAGCTGGTCGCGACTTCGTCTGCGCAGGATTAGTATTTCGAGTAGCTTATATTAGCGTCGCGTAAAAAAAACTACTAGATATTGACTATTTAAGATAAACATTTCCAACATCTTTAAAACTTAAGACCACTCAACACAACACAAATTCCCTAAAGAACTTTCTCCCAAACCGTGTAGTGGCCGACTGGAATAGGCTTCCGGAAAGTGTGATCAGTGCACCATCTGTGAACACCTTTAAAAATAGATTGGATAAGTTTCTCCAAATCTCATAATGAAATGAAATGAAATAGTTTATTCTTGCAAGTAGGACTATATAAATCACTTTTACAATGTCTTCCTAAACTAGATGAAGTCGACATTTCCTAACTGACTGCCCTGAGAAGAAATGTCGAAACAAACTCGGGGGTCTTAGTCTCTTTTATAGTCCAGATAATACAATAATAAATTAATAAGTTGGTGTAAACAAATGCAGAGTAATTTACTGGACTGGTCTTTGGAAGAAAGAACCAGATCGATCTGAGCAAGCCTGCGCCAGCAGACGGCTAGCATGCCCCGAATAGCTCATGCAGCTCAACCATTTTTGAGGGAGCTGCACAACCCGGTACACAACAATACCGCCAGAGGCACCATAAAGATATGTGGGGCAACAACTCACTCAGATCGCCAGCCCAAAATAACTATAGACTAAAATGTATCAAATTATAAATCAAGCAAAAGAGTTTATGATATACCCGCATAATGTTTACACTTACAATGGATACAAAATGTATATTTAAGGTGTACCTTAAAGCAAGGAAAAATAATTAAATTGAAAAATATAATCGTAATATAAACATTATTCACTTGGCATGTCAAAGTGTAAAATATTGTATGCAAAAGCACAAAACATGTCAGTATTGTAGAAAAAGAAAAAATGAATATGCACTAAGCACACATAATACACGCGCATCAGCTTATTAAAAGCTGCCAGTGTGTTAAGTAAATAATAATAATAATACATTACATATGCGTAACTCTAGCGGGTACGGACATTCTTCTATAAACCCCTAATAAAATATAAATTACAGGTGGTATGACTTTCGCATACAACGCAGATCTTTACTACCGTGACTACTTCCCCGATGTGGATTTGGGTTGGTGGCTGTTCGCTGTCACCGTAGGCATTGGATCCGTAGGAGTCGTGGTTGGGGGAGTTGTTTCTGATAAGTAAGTACAGTATTTTAGTAAAATTTAGGATTAAATCCTGTAGATTGTGTTTTTATTATCTTTATTAAAGGGTAGGTAGTATTGGAGACATCTGACAACTATAGTTAGCGCGTTTGGTTAACAGAATCTTATTTAATTTAAAAGTGAAACTATGAAGCTGGCTGGACGTATCGCTTTACAGTAAACGTTGTCATGGTCATTATGTCTAAATTATTATTAAAAGCAATTTACTTTAGACTTCTGAAACTTCTGACTTCTGTAAAAAGCTTACTCTTGGCCGGCAACGCAATTTTATGGCTAAATTAGTTTTAAGATTAGTGACGTGGGGAGTGCAGTGACACAATTGTCTGAACTTATTAGTTATAAGCCATAGAATATTTATAATAAGGAGATTTAAATAGTAACAAATTGTGTAAGTTAAGGGATTCACATTCTCTGATCTTCAGGAGAAATATTACACCCTAGTGTTACACAATTGATGCGGTGTACCGCCATTAATTTTGTTTATATAATTCAATTCTCCACATTTTGTTACTTGCTCTAAGCTTTTGTATTTGTAATTTGCAGCATTTTATGTTTGTGTAACAAATTGAATAATAAAATGATAAATAGTTTGTAATTTCGTATTATGAAACTTGTTACAAATTGTAAGAAATGTATTTTGACCTTTAAAATATATTGGACTTAATGGACATCAGTATGGATATAAATGGGCAGATGAAATTTTTATCGTTCGTTGCATCGTATACAAAAATATATATAGGTACTAATATGATAAAGATTGGTATTTTTAAAACTAATAAACTCAAAAGCAACGATTTAATCGATTTAAAAATATTTCATCATTGCTACATTATCGCTACATAACATAGACTATAAATTTTTGAAATATAAAAAAGAATATGAAGCCGGAACAGGCTGTTTGTATAAAATAATACAATTATATTAATGTATTACAGGTTCGTATCTCGTATGGGTGTTCGTTCGCGAGTATTGGTATTGGCTGTTTCACAATTAATTGCTACGTTACCAGCCTTTGGATCTGTTATCTTTGGTCCTCTGTGGGCTATGATCACGCTGGCCTTCTCCTATTTCTTCGGTACGTATATTCAACTTATGGGATAATTATATACATAATTGTGTAATTTCTCTTTTCGTAAATTGCCAAAACTATATGACACATTTAAATACCCGCGAAATAATGATGACTATAAATTCAAATGAGCGGTAGGTACTTCACTGAATGGATAGTCGGAAAAATAAAAATTCGTTCAGATTAATTATCCTAGACCTATGGTAAAAATACTATAAACAAAAGAGACATCGCAATGTGTCCAACGCACCAATTGTACCTACTATTTATTTTTGATTCAATATTTTTATGTAATACTAACTTTACTTAGTAGAGAAAGAAAACACAACTTTAATTAGATAATGTTTTTTCAGCTGAAATGTGGTTCGGAATTGTATTCGCGATCTTAGTAGAGATCGTACCACTGTCTGTCCGATCTACAACAGTTGGAGTATTTCTCTTTGTAATGAACAATGTTGGTGGTAACTTGCCCATCTTGGTCGACCCTGTGTCTAAGGCTATAGGCTACAGAGAGGCTATCATGATCTTCTACGCTGGATTCTATGGCATTAGTAAGTTTAAAGAAAATATAATTACAATAGAGATTAACTTATGTTTTTTTGAATAAAACTGGTAATTTTACAATAATTTGCAATTTGAAGTCGGATGCATCGGGAAATTAACGCGCTTTAATAAGTTCTATAAAGGTGCATATATAAAACTCGTATTTCAATTACAGGTAGCATTTTGTTCTTCCTCACAATGTTCTTTATGGATGGAGCGGTGGAGAAGCCAGAAGACAAAACGAATGGTCTAGATAATTCTGCATACATTCAAGACGAAACTCGACACAAGCCCATTCAAGATGCGAGGTTATAAACGATGAGTTCAACACACCGCCATCAGATGGCGTTTGCGTCTTTATTTGTACTTGTATCTCTGGCGGTACTATCTATGGAATGAAGTTTCATTTTGGCGCCAATTCATGTCATTCGAATTCGATATTTGTTAATCGTGCAAGTTTACCGCTGTCTTAAGAATAATAAAATTAGAAATACATTTATTTTCTAATGTAAAATTGAGCTATAAAATTATGAGACAGGGTTATATGGCTTAAAAATAACGGTTTACCTTCTAGAACTCGTAATGAACAATGAAGTGATATTGCACCGTTCCTTTATTTAGTTTTAAGATGTAGATTAGTAATGATTAGTATCTATTTATGTTGTTATATTTAGTTGTAGCTCTCAATATTTATTCTGGCGACTACAAAAGACACATCAAAAAACAAGAAAAATCTGTTATGATTTTTACAGTTAATATTTAAAATATAAAATTATTTCCACAGCCAAGTCTTGCCTTATTGCCAAGACACGTCTTGGGCGCTGTCAAATATCAGTATAAAAATATAGACCTAACATTTGTAATAGAATTGAACAAAAATACTTAAATTACAGATATTTAGTAAACCAACTTGAAACATTACAATAAGTACATATTACATTTAATATCAGGGCTGCCAGTCGTATCTACCTACTATGTTGGTCTCTTTTCAAAATATAGAAAATCTAATCTTATTCACACCATGTAAAAATCGATAAAACTATTGAGCATTAATCTGTTAAAAATGAATGTTTATTTATGAAAAAAAAAATGTTTTTATAACTATCCAACAATCTGGTAGCTGTGTTAAATATTCAACCTGTCAGTTAAGCAAATTGTTTTTTAATTGAAAGTGTTACTTGGACCGCCTCATAGGAATCTATTTGTTTTATAACAAATGTTATATTTGTGATATTGTAAATATTTATTTGTTAAGATTTTTGTAAATAAATTAATTTGAATATTAATTAAATTTTATTTATTTCCTAAACATTCACATCTGCATAGTATGCATATATATATATATATTTGTAATAAGGATACAGTAATGAAGACAAAATTGCAATTTAAAAAGTTTATTCAGTAGAAATTAGAGCACCTTTACCATTAGATTTATATTTAAAAACTTTTTCTTTTCTTCGGGACTTCCAACATTTAATTTCTTCTTTTGATAAAACATATTCCCCACTCACTGCAACTGATTTTATTACTTCTGAAAAATAATTTTAAAAACATGTTAAAGATGTACATACTCTCTCAGTATGTATTGTTCAGGGAAATGCTTCTGTTCCTCTGACGGTTAATCTTGAAGAATTTTTTGCTTATATGGTTAATGTTTCTATGTAATTTAATAAAGATAAGAGCAGTATAGTAAAAATCAAATTACAATAAATAATACCTTTGTCGTTTTTAAAATAATAATATAAAATAAAAGTAAATCAGATATAAACTTTGTTTTAAATATATTATGTTTTGTATACTACCTTCATCAATTTCCACACATTCTTTTATTTGATTCAACTTTTTTGCCTTTACATTATGATTTTGTGTAAATTTGTCTTCAGCTTCATGACAAGATAAATACTCATCTGAATCGCTGAATAGCCTTACACCACCTTTTATTTTTCTTTTACTAAACAATACAAAATACAGGATTATCATATTTTACAGCTGTAACGTATGTAATAAATATCACTACTAATGATAAAAACTACTATGATTCACAGATTTTTTAATGTAAGTACTTCTGACAGATATTCTTTTTATGGAAAAAAATATAGATACAGTCAAAACCGTTCACAACAACATCGTTTGTCGGGTCTCGTGGGGGGTCCTGTTGTTCGCGTCCGTGAGAACTACCTAGCCACTACCTCACACGTGCCCCCTGGGTGGTGCTAAAAGAACAACAACGCCGAGTCTCGAGCGGCAGTTAAATATCCTGACCAAATGGGCCTAACCAATTAATCCGAGTTGAAAGGAGGAAATTGCCTTTGGCCTTTTAACACCCGTTACCTTGTGGACTTATACCACGAGGCCGGGGTCCTTGACTTAATTGTCCGGGACCAGAGGAAGAAAGCCTCAATAATAAATCACCCCTAATCTCAAGGTGTGGATCGTGCCGAAGGGATGAATGGCTGGGGGGCAGCTCAGCTACTAGCGCCAACCATGATGGACATGGCAAACATCATGAGTATCACCTTCAGGTGAGAATGGGCGTCACCTCGCCTGCGACCTTTTAGATCGACCCATCTCGTGGGAACAATATGAGTGAACAATAAAATAAAATAAACAATAAATCTTCAACTTCTTCGGAAGAACAATCCACTGGTGTGGGAAACCAGGCTCCAGTGTTGGAGAGTACCACTGGCCGAAAAGTACTTGTACAACAAGCATTCCATCCTAGCTTATTTCTACAAAGACCTAGATCTGCATCAATTGGAAGCTGTCCAACACAATCAAGTGTCGAAGAAATGAAACCAACAGATGTACCCCTGGCATCTGCAGATTCACCACATCCTCCACCATGGCAGAAAGTGCCTAGTAATAGGAATAAAAAACGAAAGTTTTCTACCAGCCCTCCTGTAGATACGACCAAAATATCAAATCGCTATGACGGTCTGCCCATTGATTTAACTGATGAAACAGATAAACCAATTAAAGAAAGCAAACCACCTCCAATCATTCTCTATGGAATTGAAGACCTAAAAGAACTAACTAATCTCTTAGAAACAGCAGTCAACACAGATCAATTTACATACAAGATCATAAATAAACCTCAACTTAGGATTAGTACTGCAGATATTGATGTATACAAAATACTTATCTCCCTGGTTAGGGAAAAAGGCTTGATAGGGCACACTTTCAACAGAAAGGACAATAGATGTTTCCGGATTGTAATAAAAAACCTCCATCCGACGACACCAGTAGATATTATTAAAGAAGACATAGAGGCAACAGGGAACATAGTCACTGGAGAGATAATAAATGCAAGGTACGGGCCAAACAAGAATCCAACATCTACATTCTTTGTTAATCTAGTTAGTGGTCCCCACAATAAGGCTATTAAAGACCTAAAATATATCTACCACCAAAGCGTCACCAATCACCATAGATGAACCAAAAAAAAGAAAACACTAGTTCAATGCCAGAGATGCCAACAGTATGGTCATACCAAGAACTATTGTATGAGACCATACAGGTGTGTGAAATGTGGGCAATCACACAAGACATCAGAATGTCAAAAACGAGACCGGAGCACTCCAGCACTCTGTGCCTTGTGTAATGGACCACATCCAGCTAATTACAAGGGATGTGAGGTCTATAAAGAAATTCAAGCAAGAAAACAAAAAAATCCAATCAATATTCCTATACCAACTACTAAAACAGCATCTAAAACACCTAAAAATACTGAACTGAATACTAGTACAGAACCCAAGAGACAAGAAAAGAGATTAAGTTATGCTAAAGCCGTAAAACCAGACCAAATAAACAACACATTCCAGAACAATTATGATAATACTCACATCCCAGGACAAATAAACGCGACCCTAGAACAAATTATTATAAAACAGACAGAAAAGTTTGACATCATCCTACAACAAATGAGCACCCTCATGTGCCTCATAACCAAACTCGTCGACAAAATGACTGCACTACGGATTGCGACCTGGAACATCAATGGTCTTGCCACCAACAACCATGAAGTTAACCTGTTCATGTCCCAACATAAGTTGGACATTCTCCGTATTTCCGAGGCTCACTGTAAGGCTAATTCTATAGTAAGGTTTCAAGACTACCACTGCTACATTACAAACCACCCTGACGGTACCAGTCACGCGGGATCAGCCATTATTGTAAAAAAAGTCAATCAAACATCATCAAATGCCTAATTATGAAACGGAGCCTATCCAAGCAACCACTATAACTGTTCATGACAAAACAGGAGACATCAATGTGACAGCAGTATACTGCCCACCTAAGCACAACATGACGGAGTCAATGTACTCCGATTTCTTTAAGACTCTGGGACACCGCTATATTGTAGGTGGAGATTGGAATGCCAAACATACTTCCTGGGGCTCAAGATTGACGAATACTAGAGGCAAACAGCTAAAACTGAGCATAACTAAAAACAACTCAAGCACCGTATCCACAGGTGAACCCACTAACTGGCCTACTGATGCCAAGAAGGTGCCTGATCTCATAGACTTCTTTATTACTAAAGGATTAACGAAGTTATACATGAAACCTGAGTCTTGTTATGACAGCTCTACAGATCACACCCCGGTGCTCCTGACCATTAGTACTAACCTAATAGAAGTATCAAGATCAATAAGGTTATGTAATAAACGCACAGACTGGAACACATTCCGTGAGCACATTGAGGAATCAATAAATATGAAAATGGCCCTTAAAACACCCGAAGATGTAGATGAAGCAGCTAAATACATAACGCTGTTAATACAGGAAGCATGCTGGATAAGTACTCCTGAAATTCAGACCCCCAACAATAGTGGAGTAAACAACTATCCCCTAGAAATAAAAAAGGCTGTCCTTGAGAAGAGACGACGTCTAAGAATCTGGCACCTAAGTAGGCTTACTGTGGACAAAACCAACTTTAACAGAGCTGCAGAAGATCTCAAGTCACTATTGCAAAATTGGCATGATAACTCATTCCAAGCAAAGCTAGAAAGCCTAACTGCTACAGAGTCTACAAACTACTCGCTCTGGAAAATAACCAAAAGTTTCGACAGACCACAAGCTGCTAAACCACCCTTAAAGTGTGCTGAAGGATGGGTGAGAAAACCACAGCAAAAAGCAGACCTATTTGCTAAACACCTGTCAAAAGTATTCTGCCCAAATGATCCCGTAGACGATAAGTTTGATGACCAAGTGGACACAACACTAAACCAAGACCTTCAAATGGATCTACCACCAAAACCTGTGTCAGTACGGGAAGTTTGGAGAGTTATAAGGGAACTAAAGAATAGAAAAGCACCGGGCTTCGACCTTATAACCAAAGAAATAATTACACAACTGCCCCGAAAAGCCGTAACCTACATTACCACACTATGTAATGGGATATTAAGAGTCCAACATTTCCCAGATATATGGAAAGTATCTCAAATAATAATGATATATAAAGACGGAAAACCACCAAACGAAGTCACATCTTATAGACCTATAAGTTTGCTTCCGATACTATCTAAAGTTTTCGAAAAACTACTTCTTCGACGTATTCTTCCGATCTTATCTGAAAAAGGCACCATACCCAGCCATCAGTTCGGCTTCAGACAGCAACACTCCACGGTGGAACAGGTTCATAGAGTCTGCGACAAGATAAGAAAGACACTGGAAGAAAAAGAATACTGTGCTGCAGTGTTCCTGGATATACAACAGGCCTTTGATAGAGTCTGGCACAAGGGCCTGCTATGTAAAATAAAAAGTTATCTTCCACATTGCTACTTTTTGATATTTCATTCATATCTCTCGGGAAGATTATTACAGGTCAAAGAAGGAGAAACAACATCAGATTTCTTTGAAATAAAAGCTGGCGTACCACAGGGGTCAGTGTTGGGTCCGGTACTCTACCTCACCGGAATTGTGTCAGATACCTTGGTCTTCATCTTGATAGGCGTATGACATGGAATGATCACATCAAAAAGAAGCGAGATGAACTGAATATTAGATATAAAAGCTACCTGTGGTTGCTAGGCCGAAACAGCAAACTATCTGTAGACAATAAACTACTAGTGTACAAGTCGATCCTGAAACCTGTATGGATGTACGGCCTTCAACTATGGGGTAGTGCTTGTAACTCCTCCATCGTGTGCATACAAAGAATGCAGAACATTATTCTCCGGACTATCAGTAATGTCCCCTGGTATGTGACTAATGCTGAGATCCACGAACACCTGGGAATGCTCACAGTGAGAGAAGAAATAACTAATATCAAGACCAGATACAGGGAACGGCTAGCAGCCCACCCCAATGCCCTTGCACGACAGCTCACGATGCAGAGCTATGTTAAACGCCTTAAGCGAAAAGACATTCTATAATGTGAAGAATTATGAGTAGATGTTCTCACTGGAGGACACACTCCGAACGAGATAAGCATCCAACATATTTGCTAAAAGTGAAAGCACTGATTGCAGATGGAGAATATACAAAAAAAAACAACATCGTTTTGAACAACATACCAGTTATATTTACCAAAATCAAAGGTCCTGGCTAAATTCCATTAATAACAACATCATCGGCTGTAACGACTATCAGTTTTTAGGACCAAATATAGAATAGACCAAATAGAGTAGTCCCTTCAATGTTGTTATAATAAATTTTGACTGTATATAGAATGAGTATGTACATATATGAATTTTGAGCCAACTGAATAATATACCAATTTATCACTTAGGTAGGTGCTGCAAGATTCTGGCAATAGTTTCAAACGTTAAATGATTATAATGTATACTGTGAGGCTACTAATTAAGTAATTATAAAAAAAGTATAAAACTGTAGATTTTATCCTGAATTCTGCCTAATTCCATTTCAGGTACTGACCATATTTTATAAGACATGTGGTGAACTGTCTGAGCCTTCCAAAGTAAAAAATTGTTTTCCAATCGGGTCTTAGGCCCTCTTTAAGCAGAATAAAAGTTACTAAAAATACCTAACTTTGTTATTTTTAAATGTACTTGATCAGCATTACCTTTGCCTCCAAAGAAAAACTTATACCCATTATGACAAGTTAAAAATCTAAACCATCCTATATAGTAAGACTTAACTTAAAAGACTGAAATTATTACAATTGATGAGAAATCTATATAAAAATTATTTAATCTTGCCAAATATACTACCAGTATAGTAGTACTCTGTCAGTACTTACATTTTTTTTGGTTCTATGTCAACAAATTCAACAGTTCTGCTAATGATGGAGGAAATTTTCTTGCCAATTTGAATTTGTAATTCTTTAGGGACTTTCACATCATTATAATGCGTTGAATCTGCTAAATACCTCTCAGATTTTTTCTTAACTTCTGAAACATTAATTAAATTGTCCAGTTATTTGATTAAGGCTAGACTTAACTGGAACATCTTAATTTATGTTATATTCGTATCAATGACTTGATTTTCATGTGAATAAAATTAAGAGTTAGGAATATACCTGGTGTTGTATTGTATGCAGGTTTTATATCGTTGGTGAAACTTGTATCTACAACTTCTTTAAACCGAGATAAATCTTCCTCTTCTGAAGAATCCGACACGGACATTGTGCCTTTTAATTTATCCGAAACTAATCATTACAATTTACCTATAACATTTTGCGATGCCATACTAGGTTTACGGTTATTAATAATAGTAATCAATAATCATTAATTATAATTTTTACTTCAAGTTTTCAGTGTCAAAAACAGCTGAGAGCCACAGATAAACTGTAAAAGATTCACTTCTTTCAGTACGTTTTATTCTATAATATTTACTACTGTAAATTGTCATACTTCAAACAATTTTAAAATAAATAAAAGTGTGCAAACTGGTTAAAGTTTAAACTAATTTGACTAATTATAAGAGGGTACAAGTATTACAGTAAAATTTGATGTAGAATTATTGTTGGTATATAATGGCGGAATATACAAAACCTCCTCTTGATAAAGATTTAGTAAACTTTTCGCAAAAAAATGATTACGATTCACTCGCAAAGTATCTCATTGGAAACATTTATAGATATCGTGAAAATATAATAATTCCAAGAGTGTTAGGTCCTGTTATTATTAAAACAAATGAAGAGAAAATGATTGAATCCACAATCGAAAGTTGCCCCTTTAAATCATTGACCAGTTGCATTATAGGTTAGTAAGATTATTTTGTGAATATATTTCACATTACATTAATAAGATACTTTGTACCAGCCGCAGAACTCAAATGTCAAATTCGTAATACTATTGAAACACAAATGATGTTGTTTGATAATATTATTGTAATTCTAATTAAGGTAATCTGGCAAGTTTTCTCTTCAATGACGTTTCTGTTTAAAATTATTGCAGGATATGGTCTTGGTCTTGCTGTTGGTTTGTTCACATCCTCTCTTATGCCAAATATGACTGATCCAATGGCGCAACAGAACCAGACTGCGAGAGAAATTCTAAGAGAAATGAAAACATCAATGTTAAGTTATGCTAAGAATTTTGCAATACTCGGAGCAGTTTTCTCTGGAGTAGAATGTTGTATCGAGTCAGCTAGAGGAAAGTCTGATTGGAAAAACGGAACATATGCAGGTGGCGTTACAGGAGGTCTCATTGGGTTACGGGGTAAGTTTATAAAAAAGCTTATGTTATGTTTTTACAATAACAGAGATATTGTTTTAATAATAGATACATTCCAAATATAATGAAATTAACAAACCTTTCTATTTCTCAGTAATTTTTCATATTATGAAGTGAGTTAAAATAATAATATTTCAGGTGGATTAAGGGCTGGAGTGTTTGGTGCAGCTGGATTTGCAGCATTTTCAACTGTAATTGATTACTATATGCATCAACGTTGAAAAGTTTAATTAGGACATGTTATTAAATTAAATTAGTTACCAAATTAATTTTTATTCCTAAAACATTACCTTCGAGTTACTTCCTATAGTAAAGTTACACATAATTAAAGTACACACCAATTCCAATTTATTCAATAAGCCTTCCATGTCTTGGCCACAGATTTCTGTATCTGTTCTGTGATCATTTTTAATAGGTTAGCAGGTGATCTGTCGACTTTTTGTCAAAAAGTCCCAATAAGCTGATTTCCTTTAGTGTTAGCACTCGCACATAGCAAAAGTCCATTGGTCCACAGCCAGGATCGAACCTACGACCATAGTGATGAGAATTGAGAGTCTCACATTGAAACCGTTTCGCCAACACTGCTCTCAATAAAAAAAAAAATTTTTATATAAAATAATATGAATATTGTTAATAGAATGAACACATAGTGCGTTTTCCAATTACAGCACTAGAGCGCATTATGCGGCATAATGCTCAACGTTGAATGTTCCAACTACTGCAACGCTTCGCACAATTGAGCACTCTCAAAACGAATGCTCTTGCGTGCTTCTCGGAATAAATACCAACACAGTGACAGAAAATTGACCAGTTTTTCTTTAAGGTGGCATTTATCGAAATTTTCGTTAGTAAATATTATTTATTGTTGAACAATTTTTAAGGCTTTCGTTTCGTCGTAGATTTTGAAAATAATTAAAGTTATTACAAACTGCTAAAAAAAATAAATATAAGTATGGATGAAGGTATAAATAGTAACTTTTTTTATATTCCACATTTAAAATAAGAATACAATTTTATTTAAAAATCGGATCTGTAAACAAATTTATTTTACAGGATTATACTTTTGTAAACATTGCAATGGTTTTGAAAAAGTATATAATTTTTTTAGAAATCATTTGAAAAAAATTACTCAAAACGTAAATTATGTAAACTTCTTACATGAAACTATATATTTTACTATTAATTTAGCTTGTTAAAACCTTATATTCTTTAAAGGTTTTCTCTTATTTCAGTAAAATAATTTTAATGAAATAATTTGATTATTAAAATAAGCGTAAAAAGTTTTCAACCAATTATTATTGTTAACCACATTATTTATACATTAATGAGGTTGTTAACTCTATTCAGAACATTTTTTTTTTCAACACTGACTTAGCGCACTCTGCTGATACATTTGAAAACGAATTCACGTTCCAATTAAGCTTCAGCATTATGCGGCATTGTGCGGCACTGAGGCGCATAATGCTCTGTAATTGAAAAACGCACATAATAAACAATTTTTACTGTAAATTATGTCATCCTGCATCTGTGGTTAATTGGATAATATAATTGACAGTTGACACAGTGTTCTTTGACTTTATCTGTGGCAGGCGCGCAGACGCGCTAGAGATGGGCGGGCGGTACAATATAAAAAAATAACGATCAAAAACGGAAAACGAATTCAGTGCGGCGTATTTATTTTATTCTTTATGAATTAAATATTGATAAATACTTTATATTATGAATTAAAGGGTGTATATTTTGCTACTATATTTTACAAGTTATAAGATTAATTCCTTATTTCCGTGCTAAAACCGTAAAACACAGAAATGAAGGATCCCTTTGTTACCGACTCCTATATTGATTCGCCTACACGGGACAGTTTAAAGCATATTGACGGGTGTTACAGTAAAAATTTATTTAAAAACAAATCCTTCATGAATTCTCGTCGTGCCTTACAATCTGGTGCAGATAAAATCTCAAGAACATTCAAGAATATGAGGAATACTTTTGGGGACTTGTCTCAGGTACGATTTAAATATAATGTCGAAGTTACATTAAAGTAAATATTTAAAATAATTACTATTGGAATAGACTCTTTTTTTCAATTAATTATATTATTTTGTATCGAAAGCTCATAGTACAGTAACTGTACTATAAACTGTTTATTAATTACGTTTATTTGCAAATACTGTTAGGGATGTGAAGCAGATAGCAAATTACATATTATTTTAATATTATATTGAACCAAAATGCTGTCAGAGTTATAGCTGATGAGTTCTGCACCAACCCCTATAATAATTTATGATAGTGTTGTTGACATTAATTTAAATTTCAGCATTTCAGGCTCGGTGGAAGAAGGAGGCACCGATTAGCTGAAGCAACCTCACCATGCAGAACACCATGTACTCCTGTTACAAAGAAAAAACAGGTAATCTAAAATCATTACTGTAAAATTTTATATCTGACTTCAGATTCATATTTTAAGTGAATATAGCTACCATTCATGTGAGTTCAGTTTCCAGTTTGATTTTAAGGTTACAATAAGTTTATCAAGTTTTAAGGAATATATATATTATTGCTTAATTTCAGATCCTAGGCCGCAGTCCCACCAAATTATACAGTCCATTTGGTATTGAAACACCAAGGAGTAGGGACTTTCGGATGTCTCCGTATATGCCTAATACGCCAGAACATGAGTAAGTTTTTTTAAGTGGAAAAGTACAAATTAAATTATGTTCTGCAAATGAATGCACTATTGCTGAATAATGTAGGTATTGTCTTAAAAATTTGAAATCTGTAAATTTGTGGTCCGTATGCAATATCTGCTTGGGTTTTTTAAGAATTTATTAGAAATTATTTAAGATGCGACCCAAGTGGACGGCTTGTGCTAGGTAAAGGAGGATGATTGTGTACTTGACTATTAGATTAAAAAGTCATCGTAATAGGGACACAAACCTGAAAAAGGTAGTGCCACTGATTTGTTTTTATAGTAAACAGAACTGATTGTAAAATAAATTTTTGAAAGCACTTTATTATTATAATTCCAGGATTTCACCGAAACGGCGCAAGGGAATCGCTCATTGGCACCTTTTAGGAAAGAAACCGAGAGCTCTTTTTCAGTAAGATATTTCCAACGCACAATTCCCACCGCTTAGTATTTACTATTTATTAGCTACACCCAAGATGTATGAATACGTGATTGGTGCTATGTGTGACTGAGACTGAAGTGAAAAATATACCCACCTCATTTAAACCACCTTCGTTACCATACCGCTTAGTCTGTTTTAATTCCACATTGGTACTAACAGCAAAATACAATAGACAAGCGAATACAATAATTTGCTCGAAGCGTGTATCCTTAACATACAGTTATGATTGCTTTCGTTACTACACGTCATGATTAATAAAATAGCATGTATTTTTAGCAATTAAAAATATGATAATTTATAAATTTTTAAAAGGCCGGCAACGCACTTGCGAGCCCTCTGTGCAATGTGAGTGTCTTTCACTTAACATAAGGTGAGCCTCCTGCCTGTTACATATAAAACTAATTAATATACATATAATAATTATTTTATGTTGTCTATTTTATTTAAAACACGCCAGCGGCTGGTCCGATCAGTTAGGACAGTAAAAATCTATGTAATATTTTATGCAGATATGTAATAATTTATAAATAATTTTTTTTGTAAATATTTGGGTATATTTTTTACTAGCGTGCTTACATTGTCATATCGTATGTATGCCTTGGTGCAGTGATATTTACATAGCATATACTTATGTACAAACAAACAGCTGCTCAATATTGTTACGGCTAACTAATATTTATTTGATCGTGTTTAGACTCTTTACAATTTGTATGGAGAAACTTTAAGTACCTAAATGTTTTTGAAGTTATACTTCTTTAGGCGCGTTATGAAAAATTTATGAGAGTGAAATTTTACGATGCGCGCGCACCGTTACACCAAATTAACAGAATGAAGTTGCCCACGGAAGATGCTACGTCATTGGACATAATTTAAAAAACAACATTCGAATAATAATAGAATATATGTTACACTTAATGTAAGAGAATAATAATAAATATTTATTTATTTAATTTTTCAAATGTAAACTGAACTTTATTGACTATAATGACTCCTTTTCCAGTCTTTAATTATTTAATTGTAATTAATTATTTGCATGCAATCAAAAACTATTTTTAATAATGCCAAAGAAGTATAACTTCTTACGCGCGTACATAAGTATAGGTATGTTAACTAAAGCTGGCGGCTTCAACACATTTACACTTTGTGCTTGTGTAGTGTCTGTGAATAAGCGCGAGACGTAATGTCAAACTGAAATACAATCATAAATACATCATGAATAGACTGTCCGTCGTGTATGAGTGGACTAAAATGTATAGCATGGCAAAAAAATCATATTTTGAAACATACTGTATGTGAAATTGCATTAGTGTGAGTACTGTGAACCCGCCAGCTTTCGATAACCGACCTATACACGCACGCTTTTTTTTTATTACATTTTGATTATAACCGACTTTAGGAGGATAACATTTCGTGTATGTTTTTTAATGAGGCTTTTTTTTAAATAGGTTATTCTAATTCGTATTTTATGTCTCTGTCTCGTCTTGCGTCCTGTCAAATGTGTCAAACAGCTCTTGACACTGGATTGAAATGTGTTTGAAGGTTTTAGAATACGGACAGAATTTAGTTTTCTACAGAGTAGAGACTATTGGATAAGTTGCCAGTATCTATTTATTATTTTGATTGACTTTAAAAAATATTGCAAAATCTAGAATTTTTTTTTGCAAAAATGACTAAATCTGTTTCAAATCACTCAAATCATCGTATGTGAGGAATAAATTTGCGTCTTGAATAAGTTTAATTTCAATGTATTTAAGTGTTAGAATAAAACACTGCCCCTAAAGAACAATAATTAATCATATCCAGTATTATATACGCCAAATGCTTCGTGTATTGTAGTTTTAAGGTTTTCTACGCTTTTATGACAATATAAATGATGGTAAGTATTGAGGATAGTGTAGCTAAGGCCCGGCGTACCTATATTTAAATACGTATGGTAACTGTTACGAGACGTATGTCAGAACGAAATCGTATAGTTAAAAACTATTTTGGAACTGAAACGGTTCGAACGAATATAATACGTGTAGTAAACTATACAGTTTGTAAATTATACTATGCTATAATAATGTACTATGCTTCGACTATGCAATCTCAGCTCAAACACATATATAACTATGTGTATCTTATTAGAACCTTGTAGGTTCGATTTCACACCCTAAATGATTATTATATTACGTTAACTGTTCGATTTTACTTATAGTTAAATCTGTATCTAGAAATATTTACGACCCGTAGCAATTACGACTGGTACTTTGTATTTAGAAAGCAAAAGTAAGAATATTTGGTTCTATGATCTACGTGATGTTTTATTTTGTAATGTCTATCAATCTGACTGCAAGAAATGGCATAAGTATTTTTTACTATTTAGTACACTCTAGTTATTCAATTTAAATGTCTAGCATATGCTAAATTATGTATTATTTACCTATGTGAACAAACGAATTAATGAGTCAGCACATTTCATGGCATAGAACTGAATATGGACTGATATAACTTAGGTATTGGTAAAATTTGTGTACAGATTAAAATAAACTATTTATGATATGTACTGGCGTTGGTTAATCTGCTATTAAGTTATGAGTAACTCATTTTCTATTAAAAGAGTTATTCTTTTTTCATCAAAGCCTTCGAAATAGGATTGAGACGGCTCAAAAAAACGCACAAAAAATTACATTCTACATTACATCCTACGAGTTACTATGGCAAAACTAAAATCAATTCTAATCCATTTTTACTTTATTGTTAAGATTTACAAGTTTATAACAATATTTTTAAGTTAAATCATAATTTGTACACAAATAATTCTCAAGCTGAATCGTATCGTACTTAAGAATATTTGTATTGTCCGACGCTACTGCTCTGTGTATTTAATAAATTTTTACATGTGTGTTTTTTTTTAAATAAAAGAAAAAATTACGAAAATAATTTATTTTCAAAATAACACGATTTTCAACAGTTTTTAAGCTCAAACGTTTTCATTGAGTCAAAAAACCTATGGCAAAAAAACAATACCGCATGTCAAATTATTTATATAAAGGAACTATAAGTAACAGCAAGTTAGCACTCTTGCTCGTTGCTATGAAGGTACCGGATGCTTGGTAATATCTCCTTAATTCTTATCTATGAAAAATTGCCAGTTTATTTTAACTGATGTTTACAACACAATATTATATAAACGATTATCTTAAATAAAAGATCTGCCTTCGAGAGCGAAAAAGGACAAAATGATGGGTAAACAAGATGGAAAGTTCTGGATAGTTTTGACTGCCATAAATTTAGTTTTATGTTAGGTTATATGTCCCTCTGTAAAACTCTTCGATTGTTTTGTCAAGCATACGATAATGTAATTCTTTGACAGCTCCATTTTTAAAAGGTGATAATCGAATTACGAATTAATAAGAATTAAGGTGATAATCGATAGTTAGCGCTGAGTATTACTTTCGTCAAAATGTATTGGATTTTGTCACAGAAGTTATTAAGTTATAGTTCACGGTAAATCTCGTTTAATACCTACCCTTAGTTATACTACACAACCTTAGCAACGCTCCAATGTCGTACATGGAACTAACCGAACTTTGACCATTTCGTGTAACTTCCTAGTTTTACATAGTACCCCTTTTAGTTCCAAATACGCGCGAAGTGTTGCATGTGGTCATACAATTTTGTTTTGTTAGTATTACATTAACTTTTAACGTAATTCGTTCTACGAATGTTGGACCGTGAATACGGATCAGAGATTTCCAGTTAAATAGTATTGACGTATTTAAATTTATAGCATATCCATGGTAAGAAAATATAAAGCTTATAGAAAATGCTTATCCTAAGACTAGTTAACGCTTAATGATATTCTATTTTAATACTGTACGAATTAAACCCAGACGTACATCATTTGGCAACAAATGTGAAAAAAAATTATCTCTAAAGATCCACTGGTACTTTATACTTCCTAGATCTCTATAAATGTACACTCAAAATATAAAGAAAAAACTTTTCTCACATCTTATAAATTTTAAGTAATAAAGACAACAATATTTTCGTTAATTTTTAAGCCGACAATTTTAGTCAAGTGTTTAAAAATTGCAGAAGTTAAATGTAAAAATAGGAAAAGAGATTCACATCATGTTAATACATAGATTGAAACCTATTCCTTCCTAGGCAAAGGTCCCAGGTTTTATACACGGGTGGTAGCTGCTGTAAAATATTTTAGTTACTTTAGTGGTTAGTTTTATCTTGTCACAATTAAAAATAAATATTAACAGATATTTGGTGTACAACCCAGAACCTTTTTTCTACATAAAGCATCACATAAACAAATATCTAAAAAAACAAGTTATCATATACAGTAGAACCTCGATAACTTCAAAAAATAATATGTTCCCTTCCCATCGGAGCCACAAAACCTCCATAACTTAAAATACGCAACCTCTGTAACTTAAGTAATCCATGAATTGGCCCTCAGTAACTTAAAGAAATGTTTCCACAGACTCTATAACATAAGAAAAAAAAAATTGTGAATGAGTCATTTTGAAAGAGTGTGCAAATCAAATGGTTTCGGTTTTAACAACTGTAAGATCATTTATAGAGCAGTGTAGAACATAAAATAATAATATGTATAAGGTATTCTTTTCTCTATTTGTCATTGAAAATCAAATCGATTTAGAAACTGAATTGTTTAAAACAAAACGAAAATCACAGACTTTTTTAAGTAGACTAAACCTTTAATTATTGTTGAATTTTTATGTAACGTGTGTAATGTGAATAAATAAATAGGATTAGTTAAATTTCTGTATTTTATTGAACCAATCCTTCTGACGCATTCGATAAAAAATAGGAATAAGGGTATATACATACATATGTACTTACCTACCTCTATATGTATCCTTACCTCTCTCTACCCTTGATAACTTAAAATATTTTGTGTTTCCCTTGGACTTTAACTTATCGAGTTTCTACTGTATACAGGGTGGTCAAAAAGTCGTGGATCAAACGCAAATAGGGGATAGATGAGGTTAAAAAATTACTCTACCGAAAAGTGATCCTGTATTACAAGTTTTGGCGCATTTCATAGGGATTCTGAAGGCTCTATTATCTTATATAAATTATAACTCTGCAGGGGTTGAGCTTAGAGACCTCCCGTAGAACTATTTTTTGCAGCTGATGACCTCATCTATCCCTATTATTTTGTATGATTATTTGATGAGATTGAGCAACACTTTGCCTTGACAACAAAAATTTATCCCTGTTGGGAATTCTCAATTCAGTAGAACAGCAAAAAAATTTTTTTAAATTATTTTGACAATTTGTTAGTTCGTGGTCAGGGTACAGATAAAAAAATTAATGTCACAAATTAATTCAATTATCTATATGTCTATGCACACTTTGATAAACTTTACAAAGATAATAGAGACTGTTCATACTAACACCACAGACACTTTTCACCACAGAGCTATAAACAATTGTACCATAATAATTGAGTAGTCCACTTGCAAACCACGATAAGTTAAAAAACAACTTTTTTTTCCAATGGCGGCAATCGGTTACAAATTTAAAATATTAACGTCTGTATTTAACATACTCTGATAAAACTCGCTATGTTAGGAATAAAATGGGATTGAAATCTCAATACTCTTGCAAAAGTCGTTATGGTGATCGGCAGTCCACTTTCAAAAGTCGCTAAGTTTGTATTAACTTGCAAACGACGCTAAGTTGCGTGGGGACTCTTGCAAAAGCCGCCATCTTGAGCCAGTACGCATAATACTGTTGAAGTGCATGCACGTGTTGCTTTGTTTAGACTGCATTAAACAAATATTTTGTATTAAAATTATCATGGAGTATCAAGAAGAACAAGAAGTTGTTTTGGCACCAAACAGAAGAGGACGTAAAAAGATAGCTGATAAATCTACATGGAAGAGAGAACTCAAAAAGTCGAAACGGTAAGATTATTATTTTATGGTTATCTTTTGTAAATAGGATTAGTAGCCGATACCTGATTATTATTATTATTTGATGATGATGATATTATTGTTTGCCAGGTATATATTTTGCTCTATTGTTAGTTATTAAAGTGCCTATCATTTTGTTTTAGACATATGCCTAAGGGACTGCCAGTTATACCACAATGTGTACATGGGAATTCAAAACAAGGATACAAGTGTAACGAGTTAACGGTTCAAGACTACAGTAAATTTCATCGGAAATTTTATTTAACTTCAGATAAAGTCACCCAAGATACATTTTTATTAAAATACTGTACAGCACAATCTCCTAAAAAAGAAGGTACGAGAAAATCCCTGACTATAGGTTATTTTATACCAAAGCACGAAAATTTGTTGGGAAGACGCCGCGTCAAATTAAGTAAGGTGTGTCAAAAAGCAATGACCACAGTTCTGGGAATCTCTAGGGACAGAATACAAAGAATTTGTAAACAGCATTTAATGACAATGGCAATGCCGAAAGAAAGAAGAGGAGGTGATAGAAAGTCCAATCTGTATTCTGATCGCACAGAATCCGTAAAATCATATATAAAGGGACTTGAATCTTTGGAATCACATTATGTAAGAGGTAGATCTACTGTGCAATATCTAAGCAGCGATCTGAATATAAAAAAATTACATAAGTTTTACATCGATGAGGCTCAGAATGTGCCGGTGAAATATGAATTTTTCCGACGTATTTTTAACAAGTACTTTAATTTGAGTTTTAAGTCTCCCGCTACAGACGCATGTTCTAAATGCATTCAATTAAAAGAAGTTATTAAAAGAGAACGCGACACATCAAAAAAACAGCTGCAAATAGCTCAGCTTCGTATTCACAAGCTAAAGGCCAAATGCTTTTACACAAGTCTCAAAACACAAGGTGACCACGAAATAATTTTCTCTTTTGATTGTCAAAAGAATTTGGTTTTACCAAAAGTGCCAGACCAGAGTGCCTACTTTAGCCGCCAATTGTATACCTATAACTTAACAGTATGTCAGGGACCGTCTCACGGGGCTCAAAACTCTTCAAACACATTTATTTACACGTGGTTAGAGACCGAGGCAAAGAAAGGATCTAATCAGATTGCTTCGGTGGTATTTCATCGGCTAATGAATACCAATTTTGAAGACACTGTTTGTCATGTTAAATTATTTTGCGACGGTTGTGGAGGGCAAAATAAAAACTCAATCGTTTTGGGAATGTTAGCATATTGGCTAAAGACAAAAGCTCCACGTCATATCAAGAAAGTTACGCTGATATTCCCTGTAGTGGGGCATTCATTTTTGCCCCCCGACCGTGTATTTGGAAATATCGAAAGAGAAATACGTCCTTTAGACGTCATAGTGGAACCACAAACATATTTTGATATTTTTAAAAAATATGGAACTGTTCTCAGACTAGGCAGACTTTCATTTTCATGATTGGAAATCAAGTGTTAAAAACGTGCTTAAGCTACCTGGATCTTGGCACTTTCAATTTAATGCATCTAAAAGATTCTTTTTAAGAAAGGATAAAAACAATCGAATTGCCATTAAAGGGGAACCTAATTATGTATCTGAGGTAATAAATTATGGCAACGTTTGTAAAAGAGGTAAATCGTGCGAAAATATTGTACCCATTATGATGAATGTTGGAGTTCCAGTGAAAACAGTAAAGTTAAATGATGTGCGAAATCTTTTAAAAAAGCATTTCGGTGAAGATTGGGCTTCTTACGATTATTTACAATATTACAGTTTTCTTCAAGAAGAACGAAATGAGACTGTTATAGAAGAAACTGATAATGAAGAAACCATAATCCATGAAGAAATAGACCTAAGAGTGTAATTATACATTTAAAAAAAGTAATTTCCAAGGAGTAGAGTAAAATAGAAGAATATATTTTATACTTTCAAAACTGCCTATGTTGATTGCTTACAACTGCAGAACTATCTATGTTAAAATTTTTTTTGCAAAACTAGCTATGTTTAATTTTAAAATGCATATTAAATGATTATTATGAAACAGTGATTTCATTTGATAAAATAATTTAATTCGATGTGCTACTAAGTTCATGTAATACACAAAAAAAATCATCTTATTATCGTAATTTTAAGACTAATCGTTTTAATTAGTTTTCTCAATTTATTGCTGCATTGACTTAACGGGGTTTGCAAGTGGACTACTCAATTAATATACATATTTACAAAGTCACTTACAACCGATACGGCCCTTTATTTTTCTTTCGAGGTATATTCTGAAACAATGGTGATAAACAATCATTATACATATAAGAGCATAACAGGTCAACAATTATTATTATAATGAATATGCGTTTGATTTTTTTAGAATAAAAATAAATTTGTGGTATGCACAGTATATTGGGTTGAATTTTTTTTTATTTATTTACATATTTATAAAAGCTTGCCAACGCTCGGCACACAGACACATTGGTAAAAGAAAAATAACTTATAGGCAAACTTAACAAACACGAAGAGAAAAAAAAATATTATAAAAACTAAAGGAAAATCGATTTCAAGGAGTGAGGAGAGCAACTTTGGATATCTTGACCTAGCTTATATCGTCAGAATGCTCGATCTGGATATCGACATCGAGGAATGGGATGATAGGATGCCTGAGGGATATAGATGGTACACGGAATTTAAATATAGTTAAAATGTTGGGACAATCAACCTGATTCTACGTTTATTAAAACTTAATTAAACCGGTTAATTTTGGTCACAATCCATGCGAGCACTTGAAACAACGGTAGAGTTTTAATAATATTTAGCAGAAAGTATATACAAACGTTTCGACGATTTTTAAATTTAATTTTTAATTTGACGTTTTTTTAATTTTTCAGTTCATTCATAATAACTACTTGTATTTGCACTCTTAACTCATTTATCACATTTTTTTATTCATATAAGAGGATGATATCAATCAAAGCTAAAAATTAAAATACATTATTAAAGGAAAAAAATACAACATTAAATATACATTCTTTTCCCATAAAATATGCTTCTAATTTTATATTCACTGCCAGTTCTCAAATCAAGGGCGTAGAACGGAAGAGAAGAACTGGCAATAAACTCTCCGCCACTCTTTTTAATCGCCAGGTTTTAGAAGAAAACTTCTTTAAGCGCGACTAGGGAGTAAATCAGATTTTTTACTTCCTAGTCGCGTCTGTGTAGTTTCCGCTATTTAAAAATAACAACGATAGCGCGTTTTATAAGTCCGTCAGCGCCATCTAGTGGTGCATTACTTGAACTGATTTAAGTCAGTTTCTTGGTAGTGTTTATTTAGGATAGCATTCACTTATTTTATTTGATACTGATTCTTGTAATTATGTTATTATTAGTATATTTATATTTAAAATGAAAATCCATACTAGTAGCATGTGACCAAATTAAAATTCCACTAAAGGGGAACGGTTCCCATCCTAGCTTGCTTTTCTTTTGTTATACATACGGCCAGTTTTTTCGCTTAATTTCGTATTATACTCGTCCAAAAAATCTGGTCTATTTTATATAAAAATAACAAAGTTGTATAAGAGAATAGCAAAGTGACTAAATAAAAATTCAAGTTTAAAAAAAAAAATTAAATTGCAGTTTTTTGAAAATCTCTAAATACACTTATTGATTTATTACTTTTAAAATAAGTAAATTAATAATAAATTTTCTGACGATTGCGACATTCTATAGTATTCAATAACAAGGTTATATTGACATGTGCTGATCTAACCTTCGTCTTTGAATAATCTTTGTAAAGCACATGAATAATAAATATAATTAAATAATAATATGATATTTATTATATTTAATAGTTTCAGTATATATGCCGTCAACGCCAAAGAAGTTTTACTTTAATCGCGCGTAAAGGTTACACGCACACACTTTTTTTGTTTTACACAACGTTTGTAAGGACCTGCAACCATTACACCATATTCCACATGACATCTTAAGTAATAAATAATAATAAAAGAAATGAAAAGCAAAGATTTGTCCTCTATCAGCAGGAGAACAACACGCAATCACATAGTCGAAATAACTAACATCACCGCATACACGAATTCAAGTACGACCAGTCACCACAAGTAGCACCCGTTCACGAGTATGACGCATATTTAGTATATTTTAGGGAGAGAGACAACCCGACGCATGGACGCCGCCACAAGCAATGATATTTAAGCGAGCATTCAGCAAGACGATCCTTGAAATGTGAACTTGGCAACATAAGAAAATAATAATAATACTAATTATACTGAAATAATTTGTTACCACATGGATCACGGTTTAATACATAAAGCAAGGAAATAGAGTAAGTGAACTTACTTGTGAGGGAAAACGTAGGTTACATAGAGATGGTAAATATGGCGTTCGACGTTCATGCCGGTTTGGCAGTCTTTGCCTTGGATTATATTGGGGTCTTAGACTCGAAGGTTGTCCATAATTTACTTGTCTGAATGTTCTGGGGAGTTGCTTCATAGGACCAGAACGGCCCCAATCGAATTTAGAATATAGCCTACTTTGTTGACATTGGTCTGGTTGTCCGACTTCCACATGCTCATGTCTGTCCTGTAAAGTACAATCCATTTAACCAGCTTCAAAGAAAGGGGGGTATCAGCTTGACTCCGCTAGAGAATCGAAAATCCCTTTCTTGATTAAGTGTATGTTCAGAATTTTTGTAAGTCATTTCGAGGTAATTCAGAGATCCTAATGGGATATGTAGGGCAAACAAGCAGACGGGTCACTCAAAAATGCAGCTTACGGATGTGTTGCCGGCCTAATGGTACGCTGTTTTCTTGAAGACCTAAGTCGTATCGGTTCGGAAATAGCTCTACTGGCAGCTGATTCCTCGAGTGCGAGGGAAGGAGTAAGCCTTAAAGTCATTTTGTTGTGGAAACGCCGCAAGTTGAGAGGGTAAAAATCATTACACATAAAAATATATTTTTTAAATTACTTCAATGTTAAAAATTTGTAAATATCACTGTGATGTTATCTGTTTTTGAAAACAGACATATAAATGTATTTGATATATATCCTATTGTGTATGAGACTTAGTTCAACATATTGCAATAAGCAAAATTTTCAATAGCTGTTATGCAAGAAAATGTAATTAAGAAAAATTAAGCCCACATCTTCTTGGGAAGATGATACTAGTCAAAATTTTGCTAGGTATATAAGTTACACATAATATCCCTAACAGAAATTTGTGGACACCCATATCTTAAAAACTCTCAGGATTATCTTGATATGAATATCAAAAAAAAAACTCACAAACTACTGAACTGATCTTGATGAACTTGAATTGTTCACTAGGAATTAAACTGATTCAAATCAAAGAAATTACACTAAATAGATAATCATAGACAAGTATTATCCAATTTTTAACTATGTGTACAGATCAAAAAAAATTTTGATGTTGGGTAATAAAGAGGAAGTCTTGGGATGGGATTTATAGAACTAAGTATAATATTGCTACTGACAGACCTTTCAATAAATTGAAAAATAAAATAAATCTTACCAGACTGTCTCTGTTTGTTGTATCAGGAGAGTACCTGATGGCTTTATCACATATATTCCACATTGTTTCACCATCATCTATGCACTGATTATTGGGTTGGTCTTTTAACTTAACAAATTCTTTATGCAATTGATTGTCAAATTTCAAAAGTTTTCTCTCGAAAACAGTAATCATTGAATTACAAAACACTACCGTATCAGTCTTCTTCAATATATCTAATACCGCCCGCGCCAAATCAAACGAATACGGCAAAATACACAACCTTTCTACAATCTGAGACACTGTTTCACTGTTAAAAGTCCTATTTCGTACACACATTAACTTTGCCAACTTCACAAATACTATTTTAAACCTAGAGAAGTTTTGAGTTTGCCCTATTACTTCCAAAAATTTATCACACACTTGAACACCTGGTTTAACATCTGATATCAGCAAGTCACAAATTTCATTGAAATTCACTTGATTCAAATATAACAATGTCCTTTCCACTATTTCAGTTATTATTACCTTTTCTTGGGTCTGTTTAAAAATAATTAGAGCATTTAATGTTATTTCCACTACTATTCTAGAATATTTTCGACGAATACCTTCATTTATATATACTAGTCCATACAACCTTAATAATTGAGCCTCCTTACATACCATTAGATATTCTTGGTGGAATTGATCTTCAGTTAATTCAACTAACTTTTCACTTACAAAACTTTGTGTCAGAAGAGTGTGTGGGAAATTGCACCTGCTATTCTTGCATTTCTTCAATATGTTGAAAATGCAGATGCCTCTAAAGACAGCACTTCTTACATATGTAAATGGTATGGGTGATCCTGGCAAGACCGGGGATAAAACGCGACTTTTTGTTGTTTTAGTAGTAAACTTGTTGTGGAGTTTTGTTTCAGGTTTCATATACTCCACTTTTGTACCAGAATCTTCAGATAATCCAAATGATGTTGAGTCAGCTTTTTGCTTCTCACAAACCTGGATACACTGTTTAAGTACTACTGGTTTTGGGATTTTGAAGATGGCAGTATCATCTCTACTATCTACAATAGGTTCATATTTATCTACTTTAGAGTTGTATGACATTATAGGGTTAGTTTCAAAACTTGAAAGGCTTTCAGCAAAAAGTGATATAGTGTCATCATCATCATCATCGTCAGTATAATTGAAACTGTCTGGATAATAATCCGATCCTTCTATACCAGCTTCAGGTACTTGCTCTTTAGCATTTGGTTCAGGTGTGTTGTTTAATTTTTTCTCATCTATTTGAAGTGATATCGGTCCTTTCTCAACATAATCACCACAAGAAACATTACTTCTAAGTATTCCTCCAGTTATAATATTTTTTAATTCTTGTGTTTGTATATTTAAATGCAATTTTTTTTTTGAAAAGTCAACATTATTTTCAAAGCTGAATCCAGTATACTGGTGTAACATTGATATGTAGTGATCTAAGAAAAACAACTGGTCTAATCCCAATTCCTCAGATGGGTCTCTAATGGGTGAAGTATCTTGCGAAGCATCAGAACTAAGGTCACTACTATTATTTCCAGAATTAGTTTGTCCATTAGTAATATTAGAATGATCGTTATTTTCCAAAGATTTTTCAGATTCATCTCTTATATTACTGCTATAATCATTTATAACAAGATTTTTAAGTAATACAATTGGATTTTTTTTAAGATCATATGTTAAAGCTTCAAAACATTTAGTGGTTGTATTTATTGTTGGCATCACTGATTTTGTATCATTTTCTGAAGTAACTTCATCAGGTATATAATCATTGACAATTGTTCGTACAATTTTAAGATCTTTAGGAAATACTTTATGTCTTAATGTGAGAATTTTAGATTTTACATCACCCTTTCCTTGTTCCTCAACTGAAAATAGAATAACAGTAAAGGCACTAACCACTTCCAAATTGAAGTTTATACGCAAAAAGGATTAATACAATTGACTTCACAATTTAATTTAGATTATTGAAGTTGTTTATAAGCATAAACTGTTATTACCTTATAAACATTTAAGTATTACACAACATAGGCAAAATAATTGTAAAAGTATTCAAGTTTTCATATTCAATTTAGCTTGTAATTAAACTAGTAACTCTATTGTCAGTATAACTTATACTCACACGACTGTCTGCCTAACTTAGATTGATTAGTTGATTAAATTTATTACTTACAAAATAAAGCATTTCAATTTAAGACAAACTGATTACTTAGCAGAATTTATCTAAGTTTTTTATTAATAATAATATTCTGCGAATATAATTGATATGAAACATTCAATTTCTAGGAAATCTCCAAATCTAAAATTATTTAAGCAAAACAAACCTTGAGGACTTTTTTTACAATTTCTGGTAACCATAGTAGACTTAATTTCTAGTTTACGAGTTATTCTTCGTTTCTTAGCAACAGGTTGATTATTATTGGAAGAGTTTCTTTCAGAATTTTTACTGTCATTTGCTGCCTTCTCATTGTTAACAACTTCAATTTTATTTTGGGTAACTTTTCTTTTTGTGCCTCTGGTCACTGGTCTTACATCTTTTATGCAACTGATCGCGATATCGGCACCTAAATCATCTTGAAAAGCATTAATAGACATTCTAGACTCTAAGTTAAATCAAATAAATAATACAATTTCATTACAGGAGTAATAATACAATATCTTTATAAAATACATTGTCAATGTGCCTACCCTTGCAAACCTTGGAAGACTTTTTGACTACACATTTTTTCCGTCTGCGAGTTGGTTTTTTGTCACCAGAAACGGACCTGGTAGAAGTGGTTTTCTTGGGAGGCATTTGGCTTTCATCAATAATATCATAAAATAATTTATATTAATATTATTCTCGTCAATATGTCTCAATAAAATTTTAAAACAGTTTGCACTTTGTAAATTCAACATTCAAGTTTCAAGTGATAATTGACACTGTACTCAAGTCGAAACTCAAACGGCGATAGTCAGTCTTGTTATTGACCATTACCTAATATGACAGTCAATCAAATTTCGACAAAAATTCCTTCGCGAAAAAAATAACTAAACTAAACCTTATAAAGTTTTAATGAAGCCTTTAAATAATAGAACTTGAAACAACTATATTATAATAAAACATTTTAAAAATCGGCTGGCAACACAAATCTCTTCTCAATTAGAATTAAGGTCAAATAGGTCATCTATGTCAAAATAGAGGACGAAAGTAAAACGATACCCAACTAATCTAAATCTTCCGGCCGGTGAAAACTTATCGTCGAATTTTTAATTATCAAAATGGGTGGAAAGTATAAAATTGTTATGATCCGCCATGGCGAAAGCGAATGGAACCAGAAAAACTTATTCTGTGGCTGGTTCGATGCTGACCTCAGTGACAAAGGTAATTCTTTTAAGTTTAATTTCTTTTCCCAAAACCATTTGAATATTGTTTCTTGATCTGCATAAAAAAATCAGACAATAATTTCCTTCAAATTTGTAAAATATCCTTCATAAATAATAATATAAAAAAGTATTATTAATGATAAGAATTTATTTTGTAGTATTTATATTATTCAGACACTTTTCTCATAAATTATGCAATTATTTTATCAGGACGAGAAGAAGCATTTTCTGCTGGTAAAGCTTTGAAAGCCGAAGGTTATCAGTTTGATGTCGCCCACACATCTGTACTGAAGCGGGCACAAATTACATTGAACTCTGTCTTAAAGGAAATTGGTCAAACAGACATTCCAATCAATAAGACTTGGAGACTGAATGAAAGGCACTATGGAGGTCTAACAGGCTTAAACAAGGCTGAAACTGCTGCTAAATATGGTGAAGCTCAGGTATATTATATTATTAATTTCAAACAAATTTCAAATCAATAAGCTTTTATAGCATACTATATATATTTAGGGACAAGTTTATCAAATTACAATTTATGGTTACATTAAATGGGTTTATTATTTTATAAACTTGTTAAATATTAGTAATTTGTAAAATATTTAATATTAACAACCTGCTCAGCTTTCTATTACAATTATCAAAATCAGGTCCATATGTCCCGAGATTGCCCCTTCACAACTTATCCTCTTTATTGTATTAGTAAAGATAAAGACGGTAAAAATTATATAATTTAAACCAAGTTTGTTTTCTTTTCTTTAAAGAAATATTTATGATAAGTGCCGGTATGATAAATCTTCATAGCAAATTTAATGAATTTTAGGTACAAATTTGGCGTCGTAGTTTTGACGTACCTCCACCAGCAATGGAGAAAGACCATCCCTACTATGACACTATTGTGAATGATCCCCGCTATGCTGGTGACCCAAAACCAGATGAGTTCCCCATGTTTGAAAGTCTAAAACTTACCATTGATAGGACTTTACCCTACTGGAATGATGTTATTGTGCCGCAGGTAATTTATTTTAATTTTATCAAAAAAACATAATAAAACTGTTTTAAATTAGTGTTTACATTAATGACGTACAGATATAAGCAGGGTATCCAACAACATGCTTTGCATTCACAAATTCCAGTACAGTTTTTAAATTTAAGTGAATATCTTAGTCATATAATGGTTTACTTCTACTTTTCTATTTATCTTCAATCCAATTATCAATGAAATTATCATAAATTTCTGAAGTATTTGAAATCTAGAGTATTAGACATTTTTAAATTTATTTAATTTTGAATATTGAGATAAGTTAAATCTAAAGTCTAGTTTTGATCCAATCAAATGCTCAAAATTACCTTTAATACAATTTTTTTCAAATTTAAGATAAAGGAAGGGAAAAAGATAATCATTGCAGCCCATGGGAACAGTCTTAGAGGGATTGTCAAGCATTTAGATAGTAAGTATTTAACAATATTAACATTTAAATAAAACTAATAGATTTAAAAGTGAATTCATTTGTATACTTATGTTCATCATTAATCTCAATCTACTCGTATTAAAACTCCATATACAATAAACACAAACATAAATACAACATAATCTAACATCATAATATAACACATTGTGCAAAGCAGAGTACCACTGGGAATACCAGCTTACAGTTTCCCGCCGATAACTAGTATTAACGGCATGTAACTTTGGTTCAGTTTAATTAGAAAGTGCTAATAAGTGCTAAACTTAAACTTTTATGTAGTTCATGCAGACCAAAACAATTTGCTAGACCAACTAAAAAAAGGTCTATTAGCAGATGCAGAAATATTTTACACTCCCGTTTCCATTATGACAAAAATCAAGCTGATAGCTATTCTCTCCTTCAGATGGCAGCTGTTTCCTTGTTCATTTTTCTTTATAGGTCATGTCATATTTATATCGATTACTAGCTGACACGGCAAACATTTGTTTTGCCATGTATATTATTTCTAGGAAATATTATTTTAGTTCAATAAAAATAACTATCTACATTAATAAAAAATAAGATTTGATCGTAGAGGGGTGAAAATTAGGGGTTGTATTTATTTTTGTATGTTGTATCATAAAAAAATCAAAACAAAAAAAAAATTAAATAAAACATTTTTTTTTGGGTGGACACCCCTTATCACTTAGGGGATTGAAAGATAGATAGGAGCCGATTCTCAGACCTACTGAATGTGCATATAAAATTTGATAAAAATCGGTCAAGCCGTTTGGAGGAGTATGGTAACTAATATTGTGACATGAGAATTTTATATATAAGATACAGATTTATGGCTCTTGAATTCTCCAAGACTGTTATTTGCCCTATTATTTGAACATGATGGAGATACCATTAAACACATTACCAATTTTTAGATCTTAGTGATGCAGCCATCATGGAGTTGAATTTACCAACTGGTATTCCCTTTGTCTACGAATTGGATGAAGACATGAAGCCAGTTGATTCTATGGTCTTTCTTGGAGATGAGGAAACAGTGAAAAAAGCCATGGCAGCTGTTGCAGCTCAGGGCAAGGCAAAGTAGATTTGTATTCCGATATGTAACTTAGGGATTCAGTCGTTATATAGCTATTACTTGATTTGCAAGTATAGATCAAGTCTTGAATTGTGTATAATCCGTAATGTATGCTTGTGAAGATATGATGGAAATAATATTTGTGTTATTTTAAATACAAAGTCATACATCATATTATTATATAACAATTACATAAAATCTAGTTAATAATTAAATGTGATGTATGGATGTCAGCCTATTTCCATCATAGAAAGTGATATTTTTAAGTAAACCAGCTGGAATTTATGTTTATTTAATAGCTATTTATTCAATAGTCAATGTTGATTGTAAATAAAAGTGATGTTATGAATTTCTTTTTATTTCACCAATATATAGGAGCTTCCCATATGAACCAAAAATTTAATGAGAAAATTTGCTGTTTCCCAGATACTTTTTTAGGAAATAATATGGAAGTTATAAAATTCAGGGCAAAAAATACTTTCTGCACAAAGCTGATCAATTTTAGTAAAAAAATCAGAAATAATGTTTTATTTATTGTGGTAAATTATCCCTTAAACTACTCACAACCATATCAATGTCAACTGAGCTGTTCGACTTTGTGTCATTTGTAAACTTTTTGCCCGAGTATTTAAAACTTTTGCTCTTGCTATTGCAAAACATGAATTTTTTCTCACTATCCACATCCATTGCATCAGATTTATTTTTCTTTTTCTTTGGCTTTTGATCGAATCTGAAGTCTTTGGGTATTTTGTGAACTTTTACACAATGATCCATTCTTTCATCTGGTGATAAAAACTTCTCTTTACACTCTTCTATGTAACAGCAATACTGCAAAAAAATTGTATATATACTTATTTCCAAATATTTAATTAAATAAATATCCAGTCATGCGAAGTTAATTTCATTATTACGACTTGAAATAACAATTTATATTTATAAACTGATAGTAGACATCTGGATAAATATAAAATTGTATTTAATTAAATATTTATATCACACAAAAAGCGGCAAAGACAAAAGTTTATAATAATTTTGAAATTATAAAACTTTTAATATTTTGGTTGCGACATCAGCGTCACGGTTAATGAGGGAACTAAATCAAACTTGTATACAAAATCGATATTGCGAGACGAAATTTTTTTTTGCCCTAAACACTTACCATATCGGACTATTGTTTTTTATAGAATATTTTAAGACATCAATTTTTATGTATCTCATACAATTATTCGAGAAAATTCTTTATCTTTTCTGACTTACCGATGGCTTCCTTAAAGCACTAACAGCAAAGAATGAGTCGTGCGTTTCTTGTACATGCAGATCGAGCAAGTGTGGCGAAGGCAGTATCTTCTTACATTCACAGCATGAGTACCTATGCCTAGAGTTGTAATGATTCTCGAAATCCAACAAGGAGTCCGTTGTGTATTTACATCCTGGTATTGAGCATGTTGTCGTTATTCTAAAAAATAATTTTGAAAGATTAACTATCTGTTTCGATAGAGTTAAGTAACTTTTTAAGGATACAAATACAACAATTTTTTTTAGCGCAAGATCCAATGACCTCAATCGGTACGGGACAAAAAATTATGTGAGAATTGGTTAAAGATATCTATGTATAATTATTAGGTATTATATTAATAAATATTAATATTTAAAATCTGATTAAAATTATAATCTATACTTAATATGTAGGTACTATAATGACGAGTTTGTTTCTGTAGTCTAGCTGTCAGCTTTTTTTTATGGCTGAATAATAATAATAAAGGCGGGTAAAATGGTATATACAAATTATTAATTTTTATATCGACTTAAAGTATTTTAATTAAATTAAAATACTTTAAGTCGAGACTTGAATCATTGGAGTTATTATCTTTTTTTTTTTATCATTTACTAGCGGACAAGGCGAACTTCGTTCCGCCTAACAGTCTAATAATATCGTGTTTACTTTAGTTAAACTTAATTTAGGATTTCATTAAGGTAACTTTAATACAACTTTTTTGCAAAATCAGAAATGTTTTATTGCTTGCCATTGCGAATACAAATGGCAGTTTTACACATTAGGCCTCTTCTCTCTAGCGCCAATATTGCGATATTGCATGTTAAAGCACTTTCTGATATACAAATTTTTTTGTTTTGTTATCCGGCGCAAGAACAAAGTGGTAGGATTCTTTTATATGCGTAATTTTGTCAACAGATGGCACCACATGCTGTTTGCATTCGTAAAATTAATTAATTTATTTTTATTCAATAGTTTATCCGATATTTTATTACTTATTCTGCTATTCGGAGCGGAGAAGAATTCAGCAAAAAAGAGATAACTAACGTCGGTCCAGCCGATCTTGAGTTATAAGTGGTGTAACTAACACGACTTTGTTTTATATATTTATAGGTTTATATTACAGAACAATATAATAAAATTAGAAAACCGTTTTTAGTATTAATGTGTCTATAGCAGTTTTGTTATCTGATACATAAAGACAGTCGCTGGCTTTTCATTGAATACTTAAGTGATATTAATTAATTTGTTGTATATATTTTTGTAAGCGATTATTAATAGTATTTTATTGAGCTGAAATATATTATGTAAATATACACTCTAGACGCGCGCAATATTCAGATTGCGGAATTATAATGCGGAATTTCTAAGAGTTTACTTAAATCAATAGCATGGATGCATCGATACGCCTTTATGCCGATACGATACCGATGCCGATACTCCGATAGAAATATGGCCGATACCGATACCAATGCTTAGTTAATTAAATTTAAATTAAAGTAAAATATATCAAGTTTGGTTAAAGTTTTTAATTTTTACTAAAAAATATAAAAAGTCACAAACTTTTAATAAGATTAAAGGTTAAGTTATTAAAATTAAAAATTAAGAGTAATAATTAAAATAAAACTTAATAATTAAAATTTACATTGATAAGATTTTTCTAATTCTGTATTTTATTTTGTATCCAAAACATACTACGCGCGAAATAGAATACGCGGGGTCAAAGCGGGTGAGAGAGACAACAAACTGAATAAAACACAGGGATTCCCCGGGTATTGATAGCCCGTGCCTCGTTTGCAACGAACTAGATTCAAAGTCAAAGTCAAATCGTTTATTTCAATTAGACCATCTAAAATGGCACTTTTGAACGTCAAAAAAAAAAATATAAAGATTATTCTAGTTGCCCCTTCCAAAAGGTAGTTTCGTGTGGAGAAGAATGGGCAAGAAACTCCACACTTACTCTTTTAAAATAGGTTTACAATATTTTGTTACATTTGTTAAATAATTATATGTGAAGACAATGTACTCTTAGAATAAACTACTATACTAAAAAAGTTAGTATACATGTTCCTCACATATTTACAAATATCGAAACCTTAGAATATTAACATTAAAGAGTAATAAAAATATTAAAAAAACACAACAAAACAGTGTGTGAGATACAAAAAAAATAATTACATTTGTAGCATTATATAAATAAAAAAAAAAAAATAATAACAAAAATATGTTAAAGCAAAAAATCAGCAACCAATTTGATTTTGTCCAGGCTATAGAGCCAATCATAGGATTGTCCTATGGAGCAGGACCAGCATGTTTCCAAGCATTCTTATCTTGAATATAATCATCTAATTTGTAATATGCTTGTTTACAAAGTGTACTTTTAATAAAACATTTAAATTTCCGTTCATTTAGTTTTAAAATGTCACAAGGTATTTTATTGTAACATTTCACACAGTACCCCATAAATGAATTTTGAACTTTGGCTAATCTGAAAGATGGTTGAGCTATTTTATCTTTATTTCTAGTACTAAAATTATGTCTTTCATTTATTTTACTAAAAAGATGTAGATTCTTTCTTACATACATAATATTTTCATAAATGAATTGGCAAGGTACTGTCATAATATTAATCTTTTTAAATAGTTCCCTGAGAGATTCGCAACGACGTAGATTATAAATGGCTCTGACCGCTCTCTTTTGCAAAATAAAAATGGATTCTATGTCAGCAGCCCGACCCCACAGTAAAATGCCGTAAGACATTATGCTGTGAAAGTAGCTAAAATAGACCAAACGCGCAGTTTCTACATTGGTTAAATATCTTATCTTTCTAACCGCATAAACGGCTGAGCTCAGCCGCCCCGCAAGAGATGTGATATGAGGTCCCCATTGTAACTTCTCGTCTAGCGTGATGCCTAGGAAAACCGTTTGATTAATAAATTCCAGTTTTCCTTCATTCAACATTATGTCACATTCCTTACTTTTAACATTTGGCAACGTAAATCTAATACATTTAGTTTTTTTATCATTCAGTGCCAAATTGTTTACCGTAAACCAATTTTGGACCCGAAGAATAGAGTTATTCACGTCGTCACGATTTTGTGACCGTCGATCTACTTTAAAAATCAATGATGTGTCATCTGCAAATAACACCATCTTCGGTTTATTCTGAACTAATTGGGGTAAATCATTTATGTATACTAAAAAGAGGAATGGACCCAATATTGAACCTTGAGGAACGCCCATTGTAATTTCAGACCCTAACGAGTTTATGCCGTTAACCTGAACTTTAACCTGTCTGTTTTTCAAGTAAGATCTTAGTAAGTCCAGAGCTTTGTTCTTAATCCCGTAGTGATTAAGTTTCAGCAGAAGAGTCTCATGGTTTACGCAATCGAACGCCTTCGAAAGGTCGCAAAAGATTCCAATGGCATCTTGTGCTTCCTCCCAAGCGTTAAAAATGTTCTTGATTAGGGAGACACCGGCGTCAGTTGTACAACGCCCTTTGGTGAAACCGTACTGTTGTTCATGAAAGATGGAGTTTTTATTAAAGTGACATAACATTTGATTGAGCATTAACTTTTCAAACACCTTACTGAGAGCTGGCAGAATTGACACAGGTCTATAATTATTGGGTTCTTTACTATCACCGGATTTGAACAACGGAACTACTTTACTGTGTTTCATGAGATCCGGAAAGACTCCTTGGTCTATGCTGGTGTTAAATATGAAAGCTAAATAAGGCGCAATAGTTTCGATGATAGAACTACAGATTTTTACAGACAATCCCCAAAGATCTTCTGTAGATTTAATTTTAAGATCTTTAAAAGCTTTCATAACAGCCTGGGGGTTTGTATATTGAAATCGAAAAACAAGATGCGCGTTTACATTACTTTTTTAAAGCGCGAAATATGAAAAATATCGTTGTATCGGCAATTAAAATATCGCCGATGCCGATACATCGGCAAACCCAAATTATTGCCGATATATCGGTATCCGATGCATCCCTACTAATCACACTGTTTTAACTAAAGTACTCATTTGTCCCTTTCTGTCAACACTGATGATGACAGATCAGTTTGGTTTGGAATTAGAATGATATTATGATGGATACTGTTTACTTACATTTCATGGCATAGTTCTTCCTCATCAACATCATAAACTCCGAGAACCTTAGGCGGAAACTCATTCACGAATAAAACATCATCAAGTTTCCGTTTCCCCACGCCGTAAACTGTGAGCTTTTCCAGCAAATCTTGCATTTTCTGAAATCAAGTAGAATATAATTAAATCTTTAATAGTCCATAAAAACAGTGTTGCTATCTATTAGTTCTGGGCTTTAGTTTTGTGATCACTTGTTTTATTCTAATTGACAAGTACGTGATCAGCCTCCTCCTCAATTTTTGGGCGTAAGGGAGCGTTCAAGTATTACGTCACGCAAGTTCTAGATTTTAAACCAAGAAGAAAAAGGCTGGATTGCCTTTGCTCGGGTCTTTGTAATACATGTTAAGATATTGTGTATGTGGTTTGGTGTGAGTGCGTGTGTTAATTTTTGAAGTGAAACTTCTTTAGGCGCATGAGGGTAAAATTTTACGTAAACGTCACGAAGATGTGCAGCATTTTTGTCGAAGAAAAGGGACAGAGCGATTGAGACCGATTGAGAGAGTGAGAATGGCAAATAACCTTAAAGAAATTCTATTTTTAAAATTAAAATTTCGTAAAGAGAATTTATGAAATATTAGTATTTTATATTTTATGCAAAATAATTTATTGAAACCTTAAATGACGAATTGTAAATTAAAATGCCATGTGTTTTTATTATTGAAGAAATAAATTAAAATAATAAATTAATAATTTCTATTAATTTTCGACACTTAATATTTTAATGACAATTAAATTCATTAAATTTCTAACATATCTTCCTCTTACCCTCCCTCTAAGTCTCGGAAATATGAACATATGAACAAGACTTAAAAATTAGTTTGCCAAATATGTTTCACTTCTGACATGTGTACTTTGTAAAATAACTTAATAATAACCTACTAATATAATATTGAAGACAATATTGTAACTAGCACAAAAAAGTATATCTGTGTGTATGTATGAGTCTGCTAAATAACATTATTATTATTATTATAAACCAAATAAATGATTTGTATAAGGTATCTATTTATAAAAAACGCAATGATAAGATTTATATAATCGTACAGTTACAATTAATAAAACATGTTTCGTCACGTTTATTTATTTGCACTGTCACGAAAACAAACAGGATAAAAAGCAATTATTAAAAACTTTTAATAACTTTAAAGACAGAAAAATCGGAGGCGCTACAACTTTTTTAGCTCTGGGCCTCAGTTTTCATGATAATTTGTCAATCTAATAGAGGTTATCAGCCTCTTTTGACACACGCCGTCGACTTTTTTGTTTCCTCACTATGTTTTCCTTCACCGTTAGAGCGAATTTTAAATGCGCACACAGAAAGAAAGTCCATTGGAGCACAGCCGGTGATCGAACCTACCTCACGAATGAGAGTCGCACGCTGAAGCCACTGTTCACACTGTTCATTAATTAGGAAGATCTACGAAATTTTAGTTCTTTTCTAATATCCTTTATCTTCTTTTTTAATAACTGATTCTCTTATTTGGTGATGATTAATTAATCAGCGGATCTCCCTCAATGGACAGCTTAACTTTTATTATTTCACATTTAAGCTTTTTATCAAAGATGGCAAGCCTCACTTTCCATATCTATTTCTCCTGCATTGAGCCATTGTCCAATGATTACTTCACTAGAAAACTCTCTAAAAATCGCTAATATTATATACAGGGTAGCCAAAAAGTCGAGCATCAAATGCAAATAGGGGATAGATGAGGTCATCAGCTGCAAAACATTGTTCTACGGGAGGTCTCTAAGCTCAACCCCTGCAGAGTTATAATTTATTTTGCGTTTTTATAAGAAAATTGACTTTTTTTACTAATTCTTATTAAAATTCGAAAATATCTACATCCTGTATGTTTTTAATAATATCCACTAGATTGGTACTGATGAGTTCTTGCGTTAGACATACTATTTATAGTTGTTTATTGAGTGTATTGAAGATAATATTAAGTTAAAACATATAAAAAAAATTCAAATCACAACTTATTCTTTACTTCGGACCCCACTGTGAAAAATACCCTACCGAAAAGTGACCCTTTATAACAAGTTTTGGCGCATTTAATAGGGATTCTGAAAAGATATTACAAATGGACTCATGGCCATGTGTAATAACTTTTCAGAATCCCGAAGAATTCTGTATATATATATACACACATATACAAGTGTAACTTGTTAATCATGACATTATATAAGTAGTTATCCAACTAGAAAATGACTGTGCTATTTGTCAGGGTTCTTTTAACTTGTAATCTAATCTTAAGTAAATATAGTTATACATCTGTAAACAATAATATATTATAATTTTAATGTAATAAATAGGAAATGATAAAAATATCGGTAATACTACTACGCATTTGTTTGAGATTTTTTAATGATTTGATATATGATAATTAGTAAGGGTATCTTTAGAGGCTGACCTGCGGTGATGTTAGTTATTTCGACTATGTATTTGCGTGTTGTTCCCACGAGAATGTAGGTGCGTGCTCCTATTTCACCATGCCTACTGCTGATTAGAGCTGAGGACAAATCTTTGTTTTTTATGTATTTTTATTATTATTAATTAAATATTTATTACTTAAGATGTCATGTGGAACATGGTGTAATGGTTGCAGCTCCTTACAAACGTTGTGTTAAACAAGAAACTGGGCGATCTAAATGAGTGGCGGAGAGTTTATTGCCAGTTCTTCTCTTCCGTTATACGCCCTTGATTTGAGGACTGGCAGTAAATGTAAAATTAGAAGCATATGTATTTCTTTTTTGACATTCATAAGTGTACATTGTGTTACCTATATGAATAAATAAAAAAATTCTTAGCTAATATTTTCCAATCTTTCGCTTTTATTAATACAATAAATAAACCCATCCATCTCCAAACAAACTGTATTTCTTAGATAACTAAGAGTTTAATGTACTATTTTAGAGATACAGTAGCACCGCAGTTGTGAATCATTTTATTATCTTGTCATGTCAACCTAGATGCACTAATTAAGTCTGAATAGACAGTATCAGTTGAGGAAAGTGATTGTTTTATTGATATACCGCCTCCACCAAGGTACCGCACTGTCAGCGAGGGTAGGTACTTTGTCCTATCCCCAATCAGCCGTTGGAGCACGCAACAGTACCTATACACGCATTCAAAATTCAAATTTATTTAATGATTTTAGTGACTATGTTATGAAAGTCAATATTTAAAAAAGGAAGATTTACTACCAGTTCCCAAATCAAAGGCGTAGAAGGCGTAGAGGCGGCATATTAATAACAAGAATATAATATTTAATTCATAAACGCTGTGCCAAGCCAAGATTCTGAACCTTCTACGGGTAATATTCATATTCTTACGTTATTGTACAATTGGGAAATAAATATTTCTCGATGTAGATATTAATAAAAAAATAATTAATTCCTCTAGATTATTTTTGTAGGTACTGACTTAGATGGTCATTCGCTCTTTTGGGATAATTAATTAAGATTTATTGAACGAAATAACAACCATATCAGTTTTTTTTTAATTTACGCGAGTAATTTTTTAAATAAAACTTATAATTAAGCTTAATGTTTCTTACTTTGTGGATATAAATACGAATTTATTAATTATTTCAGCCTCTTACCACGATTGCTGAAAAGTAATCGAAACGTAAATAATAAAATGTGCCGGAGCTCCTAGGTTATTATGCTGAATATTGAAATTAACAAGAGACTAATCTTTGTAAGAGATCTATCCACAAATGCCTTAATATCGAGGAAAATAATATAAATTATTATCGAACTGAAGTTACCTTAACCGTTGTTTAATGATTCATTCTGAGGTTAGATGACATGATAATACATTTATTAAGTAGGTAATATATATTTGATCTAACAATGTAGACATACCATTCTAGAACATCTAGCTGATTAGTATTTAAATCATTGCAATTAGAAGACGTTTAATTTAGAAATATCAATCGAATATAATGGATTTTGGGTAAGTGTTACATATACATTAGGGAGCGTTCAAATATAACGTAACGAATTTTGGGAGGGAAACGATACGGGGCGGGGAATGAATTACGCGTTATTGTTAATATTATTTTCGACTTTCCAGTACTTTACACCGCATAATGGTAACTTTTAGGTATAAAGAGTCACTTTAACTTAAGTTAAATCTAAAAGCATTTCTGTTTCTTTTTTGTTAGTTTTATCTGTAGTGATTTTGACTAAATTATGTTCTTGGTTATTAAAATAATATTTATCAATTGTAGATAACATCTTCTTGCTGTAAAAGTTAAATAATTATCGCATTTGCTATTAGCTGTATATTTATATAATTTCAGGAAACTATCAATCATTGACCACATACAGCTGTCGGATGACGTGAGTAATTTAAAGATATTCGACTACATTTGTATATAGTATACCATATATAACATTAGGCGAAAGAAACATACCAGACGATATGAAAATAACACTTGTATAACCACAGTTTACACAAATGTTACTAAGACTTAAACCATTGGAGCTAGAGGTAGAAAATAATCGATTTTTTTAAAAGTGAAAATCGACTTTTTTACGCGATTTTAATCGATTGATAATCGATTCTTTTTATCATTGAAAAGCAATCGTAAGTCGATTTTTCATCTGCCACCTCACGACATAACTGCTGCTCTTAATAACCCGGACCTTTATTAGGGAGATTCGAAAGGGTGATAAAATCTGTCACAAAAACTCAAGTTTCAATAATGAACACTTTAACACATTTAAAAGTAAAATACATTTATTCAGCAGCACAAGGTTCCATACAATAAAAAAGACAACAAAAATACTGCAATGTGCTACTGAAAAGGCACACAGCATCTATCAAATTTCACCTACAATCTATCAAAACGAGACTAGGTCAATTTCAATTAGACGAAGCTATCTGACAGTAGCTAATGTCACTTAGTAAAATAATGTTGCCACATTTAAAGTAATAGTGATACATTCAGTTCTTGTTCAATCAGATGAATGAACAATGAGTGAGTGTGAATAGTTAATCATTTCAAACTATAAAATAATATTATTACTATTTTAAAATTGTATAAAAGATTTCTGATATAAGTTAGGTACTAGTAGTATGTAACTA